ATCTTTGACACACCCTCTTACCATCTTTCACACAACTTTGTCACACACCATCTTTGTCACCCACCATCTTTCACACACAACTTTGTCACACACCATCTTTGACACATCACTTTGTCAGACACCATCTTTCACACACCATCTTTGACACACCCTCTTTCTCACACCATCTTTGTAACACACCATCTTTCACACACCATCTTGTACACCCAACTTTGTCATCTTTCACACACCCTCTTTCACACACCACTTTGTCACACACCATCTTTGTCACCCACCATCTTTCACACACCATCTTTGTCACCCACCATCTTTCACACACAACTTTGTCACACACCATTTTTGACACATCACTTTGTCACACACCAGCTTTCACACACCACCTTTGGCACACCACTTTGTCACACACCATCTTTCACACACCATCTTTCACACACCGTCTTTCACACACCACTTTGTCACCCACCATCTTTGACACACCATCTTTGGCACACCACTTTGTCACACACCATCTTTCACACACCATCTTTCACACACCATCTTGTACACCCATCTTTGTAACACACCATCTTTCACACACCATTTTTCACACACCATCTTGTACACCCAACTTTGTCACACACCACCTTTGACACACCATCTTTCACACACCACTTTGTCACACACCACTTTGTCCCACACCATCTTTCACCATGCCATCTTCCACACACCCTTTCACACACCATCTTGGACACACCATCTTTCACACACCACTTTGTCACACACCATCTTTCACACACCAATTTCATACACCCTCTTTCACACCCAAATTTGTCACCACCATCTTTGTCACCCACCATCTTTCACACACCATCTTTCACACACCATCTTTGTCACCCACCATCTTTCACACACCACTTTGTCACCCACCATCTTTGTCACCCACCATCTTTCACACACAACTTTGTCACATCATCTTTGACATCACTTTGTCACACACCATCTTTCACACCCTCTTTCACGCACCACGGGTTTGTCTCACACCGTCTTCAACACACCATCTTCCACACACCATCTTGTACACCCAACTTTGTCACACACCATCTTTGACACACCATCTTTGGCACACCCTCTTTCACACACCCAAGTTTGTCACACACCATCTTTCACACACCATCTTTCACACACACACACCATCTTTCACACACCACTTTGTCACCCACCATCTTTGACACACCCTCTTTCACACACCACTTTGTCACACACCATCTTTGACACACCATCTTTCACACACCACTTTGTCACGTACCACTTTGTTTCACACCATCTTTCACCACACCATCTTCCACACACCATCTTTCACCACACCACCTTTCACACACCACTTTGTCAAACACCATCTTTCACACACAACTTTGTCACACGCTCTCTTTCACACAGAACTTTCACCCACACCATCTTTCACCACACCATCCTTCACACACCACTTTGTCACACACCATCTTTCACCACACCATCTTTCTCACATAACTTTGTCACACACCATCTTTCACCACACCATCTTTCTCACATAACTTTGTCACACACCATCTTTCACCACACCATTGTTCGCACAAAACTTTGTCACACACCATCTTTCACACACAACTTTGTCACCCACACACACCATCTTTCTTTGTCACACATTATCTTGGACAGACAACTTTGTCACACACAACTTTGTTTTACTTGTCGGTCCTCCACCACATCCTTTGTCTTTCCTTCTCTTCTTCTTTTTTTCCTGTCCCCGCTACAACATTTGCTGCTCATTATTGGAAGAAGTTGCCATGTTGGGTTATCCGGTCCTTTAATTGATGTTGTCAAGTTCAAAAATTGAAGAAGTCTCGCAGAATTGCACAGTTTTGGAGGCTGTCCAGTTCAAAAAATGAAGAAGTCTCGCAGAATTGCTTCGTTTTTGAGGTTGTCAACTTTGAATAATGAAGAAGACTCGCAGAATTGCTTCGTTTTTGACGTTGTCAAGTTCAAACATTGAGAAAGTCTCGCAGAATTGCTACGTTTTTGATGTTGTCAACTAAACAAATGAGGAAGTCTCGCAGAATTTCTTCGTTTTTGACGTTGTCAAGTTCAACAATAGAGGGAGTCTCGCAGAATTGCTGCGTTCAAAACCTGAGGACGTCTCGCAGAATAGCTGCGTTTTCAAGCTTGCAGATAGACAGGTAGATAGATAGATAGATCGATAGATAGATAGATAGATGGATAGATAGATAGATCGATAGATAGATAGGTAGATAGATAGATAGATAGGTAGATGGATAGATGGATAGATAGATAGACAGCTACATAGATAGATAGATAGATAGAAAGATAGATAGACCGATGGATGGACAGATAGACAGCTAGATGGATGGATAGATAGACAGCTAGACAGATAGATAGATAGATAGATAGATGAGATAGATAGATAGATAGATAGATAGATAGATAGATAGATAGATAGGTAGATAGGTAGATAGGTAGATAGGTAGATAGGTAGATAGGTAGATAGGTAGATAGATCGATAGATAGATAGATAGGTAGATTCGATAGATTCAATAGATTAGATAGATTAGATAGATCGATAGAGAGAAAGAAAGATAGATAGATATATTCGATAGATTCCATAGATTCGATAGATTCCATAGATTCCATAGATTCGATAGATAGATAGATAGATAGATAGATTCGATAGATTCGATAGATTCGATAGATTAGATAGATTAGATAGATTAGATAGATTAGATAGATAGATAGATAGATAGACAGATAGATAGATAGGTAGATAGATAGATAGATAGATTCGATAGATAGATAGATAGATAGACAGATAGATAGATAGATAGACAGATAGATAGACAGATAGATAGACAGATGAGATAGATAGATAGATAGATAGATAGATAGATGAGATAGATAGGATAGATAGATAGATAGATAGATAGATAGATAGATAGGTAGATAGATAGATAGATAGACAGATAGATAGATAGATAGACAGAGAGATAGATAGATAGATAGATAGATAGGTAGATAGATAGATATAGATAGATAGATAGGTAGATAGGTAGATAGGTAGATAGGTAGATAGATAGATGGATAGATAGATAGATCGATAGATAGATAGGTAGATAGATAGATAGATTAGATAGATTCAATAGATTAGATAGATTAGATAGATCGATAGATAGAAAGATAGATAGATAGATAGTTAGGTAGGTAGATAGATAGATAGATAGATGGGTGGGTGGATGGATGGATGGATATATTGATTGATTGAAAGATGGGTAGATGGATGGATAGAAAGATAGACAGACAGACAGACAGATAGATAGATAGATAGATAGGTAGATAGGTAGGTAGATAGGTAGATAGGTAGATAGGTAGATACATAGACAGGCAGGTAGATAGATAGGTAGGTAGGTAGGTAGTCAGAGAAAGAGAGAAAGAAAGAGAGAAAGAGAGGAGACCTCAACCACCTGTCGGTCCATCAGTGGCTTCGCTCTGCCATCCGCGATTCACAGCAACCAACCCCTCCTATAGGTTTCCTATTTTTGAAACTTCCGCCACCGCCTTGTGCGGCACTACTGGTAACCATAATAATGATAATAACATTCATGTTAGTCATCTTGATGATACTGATAATACTGATAGTAGCAATAATAATAATGATGAACGGCAATAATAATAATGATGCTTCCAGTATAATTCCTCTGGAACCAAATCCTCAGACTTTCCCAATTTTGATTGCACCAGCCAAGGTCTGAAGATGTCCCAGAGAAAACGATGTCCTCCAAGTCTGGTAAGGCCAAAAATTGGGGTGTGAGCCGGTGTCCTCAGCCACGTGGCTGAAATCCCCGAACTTTAAATGGATGTTTTTATGGAAAAAACCATGACAAATTCACGGAGATGTTTCAATTCCACGTTTGATTACCGGAGGATATACGTGCCATGGTCACAAGATAGGTTTCGACTAAGTCATGAAAACTCATTGGTGGCCAGCGGTCCGTATGTTCATCGGAATAGACAATCTTCTTTTGGGATGGACGACAAGAAACCACAAACCATTCAACATTATTGACACTGATTTATTTATTAAATAATCTATTTTCACATATATGTAATATAAAAATGGGTTTGTGGTTTATATAATAACCTAAATAATTGATATATATATATATATTTATATTGACATTCTTGACATTATTGAAAGATACTATGGGGATAAAACCAGCCATGATTGGAATATCATGTGGATATGGTGATATGTTTTTTATGGGATACACAATGTTATATAACCGATTTGATGCGATGTTAGTATTGATAAAAACGTTGTTAATATTGTGTTATCAATAATGGCAAAAAAAAAACGGGCTTTTGTCAACCATTTGATGGGAATATAGTGGCGATTATGGTATATATTATATATGTATATACGGCATATATATACATGGATATGTAACTAACCATCCATGTAAACCTATGCGGCATGTGTGGTTTAAAGTTTCCTTATTCATATCCTCATGGCATCCCGTATGAATGTGGTAAACCAGACCCCACCTTTTTAGTTTTGGCAAAGTCATCAAAAATGATATCCGATCAAACATGTTTCATTTCCACTACTTATCGAATATGTCCCAATTGTTCGATGAATCTGCTGGTGTTTCCTGCTGTATTTCCCTTGCATTGGGGTATGTATGAAAATTATTCAAATTTAGTTTCCCCCAAACAGATAGAAACATCATAGTTAGCACTATTTTAGCGCATGAATTGGCCAACTTCATCTGTTTGGCGCTTGTTTTTTCATCATCCCCGGTAAAGCATTTGTACAGCAAACAGGGGGCCCTCCATGACTTGATGTCAACTGTCAACAGGGTATGCAGGGTTTGATCGTTGGAATGAAAACATGAAATTCCCTACAGATGGGGCCTCCAAGATAGCTAAATTGCCTTATAAGTGGTTTAACTATGGTTTATGGTAGATAGAACTATAGTTAATAGGGTTTATAAACCAACTTATAACTGGGGGGCACCATCCTGTAGCAGAAACTGTTTTTTTGAGGATATGGACTAGGTATTAGCCATCATTAAACACTACTATATCCCGATTGTATGGGTGTGTGTATATATATATACGCATATGCATATGCGTGCATATTACATATCGTATGTATACTTAAACTTTTTTTAATAGGTATCTGTATATATATATATTTAGATTATACATATAAATATATATAGAATATACATATATATATATATGCTTCCCAGAAACCCTTCGCCACGTGCCTTAATCGCGGTCGATAGGTGGTCAAGGGAAAACTCTTCGCGGCATCCGACGCCTTGGCGCGGTATCAGAGTCTGGGACAACGGACGCTCGATCCAACGCGGAGTCGGCGGAGTGTGGTGGCAATGGGTAATGTAAATTATATGGCTATGGGTCAATACCTATAGATACCATTTTTAGTGGGATGAACATCCATTTACCAGCTATTTTGATGTTCACCAGGGGTACAAGGTTTTGACACACTGCCATATGGTGGCCCACCTTGCACAAACTCGATTATTGGTTGGTTATATTATCCCATTATTCTCCCATTATTGCCCGATTCAACAGATAAATTTCATAAATCCATGTTTTTTCTTGGTGAATTCACAATATGGATTATCTAACTCTTGGTCACTATTCCATAATAGGAAGACGTAATTATACCACCATGTATTGTTATAGATCTGCGAGTTCCAAGGTAATGTAAATGATATGGATTATATATATATATATATTTGGTCAATATTCTCCAAAAAATGGCTGATCTATAGGGGTAATGCCCAAGGTTCAAGGTATGTTCATCTTAACAGGCTGGGGCCCCCGTTCGATAGCGTTCAGTTGCCGAACATAAGTGGCTGAAGTCTATGGTTTATGGTAGATATACGAACTAGTATTCATGGGGCTTACAAACCAACTTACAACTGGGTGGCACCATCCTGTACCAGGTAATATCAACCCCAACATTACAATAAACCCAGTATTAATGAAAATTAGTACTCAACATTAAGCTGGTCACTATTAACCATAGTTCAACCCCGGATTAATAAATTAGAGCTAGTTTAATAAACCTAGTTTACTAATTACCTGGTTTACTACCGGATTAGCGATTAGTTTACTAGACTAGGTTTGATTACCCCAGTTACCAATTAATAATTACCCGTAAACTCGTTTACTAATTGGAGCTAGTACCGTTTATAAAGGGAAATCTTATTATTTTGTACCCCCCATATTCGGAATTTCGGGTTTATTAATCCTGAGTTAACATTAAACAAGAAAAACACCGTAACTTCATGGACGTATCTTAGAGATCAACAGTCATCATATGGGGATTTGTATCCAAAATTGTGGTTCATTTTATACCATAATCATCATGATCCAATATCCGGATATATATATTCATATGTATACACGTAGGAGAAACATGTTGAACAAGGAACACTTCATGGACATTTCTTGGGAATTTATGGGGATTTATGGGGATCTATCAAACATGTGGATTTATAGGAATGAATCGTTATATATGGGGACGAAACAACATGGACATACTGTGGATGGAAGAAATCCTGCACCAGTTGGTAGATGGTAAACATCCCAATACAACCCCATAGTTACCAACTGGGGCAGGATTCGTTCCATCCACAGTATCTTGGGGATCTGATCAGTATACGGGGATTTGCTTTCAAAATGTTGATTTCACCATGATCTAGCGACAGGAACTGGTCAAAAATAGCGAGAACAAATCTTGGAGAATGATGGGAAAACCTGCCACAATGGTGACCTGTAACATGATTTAAGAATAAAACAGATACTGTAACCATTGAATCATAGAGAGATGGGGATATAATGGAGATGCAACGGGGATTCTTTTCGGGGTATGATTAGGTATGATGGAGAAAAAAAGGGAATATCGATCATTGTTACCAGTATCAAGCCATTAGTTTCTGGGCAAAACGTGAGAAAACACATAATTTATCCTATGTTCCACCAATAGTAACTGTGAAAATGGTCGAAGGGCATCATAGTCGAGATATAATGGGAATATGATGTGGCTATTAATGGGGAGACAATCGGTCATCGTGATCAGTGATAGCTAATTATCAATGCGGGAATCTGTTTTAAGCAACCGGCAAATGGTAACTCCGATAAAATGTGGATTGAGCTAGCCATAATGATTAGTGATGATATAATTGGCTTCATAGTGAACTAGATGATGTTGGTTTGTCCAACAATTTTAGTACTATTCTCCAATTTTGATAGTGGACAATTCATGGAAATCAATAGATCAATGGAATTTTGGGTAGCCTATTTTCAGACACAGCTACATAAGTACACATAAGTGTCAATGGGCGAATCTATCACTGAGAAACAGGAATAAAACTAGCACACATGGGGATACAAAGCTAGAAACCTGTATTTTTTTCACCAGCTCCAGCAGTGATGGGTTCAAGACATTATTACTTTCACTCATCAAGGTGGTAAACAGAATGATAGAGATGGTAGAGCATTATTCTTGAGTATTTTGAAAGGGTCCAAGTCTGCTTACAGCTGACTTTGCATGTCTAAGAGTAGGATTATCAACCGCAATTGGGTCTTTTTTTGTGGATTGATGCTGGTGAAGACTACACTGGGACATGTGGTACTCTTGTCTATACGTGACTTACACTCCCCAAGATGGCATGGTTTCAGACTGGTGCGGATTTATTCTGGATAAATTGTATGTATGTACATATATATATATATATACATATACACATAAACAATGACCTCGCTGTGACGTCACTGGAATAATGACTATAGCAAGGGGAATCATTCCAAATGGCCTATTTCAGCAATGAGTTCAGCCAGGATGTAATGATACTTAAACGGTAAACCAGTACAGGTAAATTCTCATTTATAGGTTTACCAATAATAAATTATCATTGGCCGTTGATTTATTTACCCTTTAACCAGTAGTACTGTAGAAAACCAGGTAAGGATAAGGCTTGGTTTTTTGTCCAGATGGCTCGTTTTTTTCCACAAGATCTCAGGGTTCCAAAATGGATCCTTCCATGAATGTACTTGAATTCAAACCCAAATGGTCAATTACAACATCAAACTTTTGGCAGCTTCTTGGTTGAGGAGCCCAATTTTGAACAAGCTATGGTAGAAATGTGTTTTCCATTAAAACTCTTGGTTAAGGCCATGCTTCTAGGACAAATGACAGCATGCTGACTACAGTGGCGTTTGACAAAGAGCTCATCTCATGGCCTGCAAAGGTTGGGCCTTGAGCATGACTTCCAGATACAGATTTCGGCTGCGAAAATGATTCCTCGATTGCTTCCTTGGAACTCAATGACCAGGTTGAGAATGCAAGGGAAGAGGCCTTTGTTCCCAACTTTCGACAATGCGTATCCTGAAGGTGACATGATGATGGGAAATGACAGTTGACTTGAATGTGCCATGAGCATAACTTTTGGTTGAAAACGGGCAGAAAACAATATATTGTTTTGCATTTGTTGAGTTCGCCTTTTCAAAGTTGTCACTTGTTGCACCGCGGAAAGGCATGCAATGCCCAGGATCTGATCCACCACACGGCTCATGTTCCTGAGAAATGGTTAACAGTAAATCCACGGGCTGTCGCAAGAAGAAGGGTTACCCGAGTTATAAGATGTTGTAATTTGGATTATGTTCACCTATCTATCCATTACACTAATTAATCGTAAGCCTAGTGAAAAAAAACAACTTACTCACTATAGATTGATTTGAAATCCCCATGTTTGTTGCTTAAATCCATTGAATCCACATGTTCCCCCATTTTGTTCATGGGATTTCCATGGATTTCCCCTTGAAAAAGCACACTTGTTTCTATATATATATATATATATAGATATCCGTTGTTGGATCTTAAGCTGTTGTGTCGTCAGGTTGTACCAGGCGGCTCGTGTTGGCGATGAGAAACTTGTCGAGGAGTTGATCCAGAAGGACGCCAATCTGGAAGAATGCGGCAGGGATGACAAGGACGGTCGGTTCAGGATCCGGTTTCTGATCGGATCTGGATGGGTCATTCGTCGGTGAACTAATTATTTAAGCAACTATTCGTCGATGGAGGATTTGAGACGATCATCATGATCATCTGATTATTTAACATCATGATTTTGGTTAACTTCCATAAACATCCTTTGTAGTGTAGACACCATCATAATTTCCCTGACTCATTTTATAAAGGAAACATTCCATCTCCAGTCCTTTCTCAACCGGCTCAACCCGCTCAACACCCTTGGCACTGCCACCGGCAGGAATCATTGCCGTTCTACCTCACACCGCTTCAAGTGGCAGCTTTCAATGGCCAAGACAAAGTGGTGCAAGTGCTTCTGGACAAGAATGCGAAGATAGAAGCCTTGGGACAAAGTCACTCGGATCACTGGGACGTCTGAAAGTCTGAAAGAAACATATTAAAACATATTAAATGCCGAGTCATGGTGTTTCTGACCGAGTCAGTGGACCCTCACAGCTATGTCCAGTTCTTTTTTCCTGATTTCTTCTGACTCCATTGGCGGGATGACCATCCATTTACATATCCGCTATTTTGGGGTGAACAGAAGGGTACCAGGGTGAACTGGTGTTTGTCAACCATAAACCCCCAGCTGATATCAAACTTGAACATCCTAAGTTGGAAACCTGTATCGCGTTTTCCAGATCCAAGGCATACTAACCAGTTTATTGTTGGTTAGATCAAGATCATACCCCTCGATATCTAGTTGGCATGTTGGCATATCCCAAGTTTTGGTGGTTCAGCCCAGCAGTTTCTTTTTCTCCAAGATCCTAGGTATACAAACTTGACCATTAATTTCCAACATGTTTGATGGTGAACTGACATGAACTTATATAATTAGGTACACTTATATCCACCCTTCTCAACCCAACACCGACTTAACCAAGTGATGTTCACAGACAGCTATTGTAAACGAGGGGCCCACCTTGCATAAGCTCGATTATTGGTTGGTTATATTATCCCATTATTCTCCCATTATTGCCCGATTCAACAGATAAATCTCATAAATCCATGTTTTTTCTCGGTGAATTCACAATTTCTATGGATTATCTAACTCATGGTAACTATTCCGTAATAGGAATATGTAATTATACCACCATGTATTGTTATAGATCCGCGAGTTCCAAGGGAATGGAAGTGATATGGGTTATATCTATATGTGATCAATCTTCTCCAAGAAATGGTTGATCTATAGGGGTAATGCCCAAGGTTCAAGGTATGTTCATCTTAACAGGATGGAGCCCCCGTTCGATAGCGTTCGGTTGCCTTATAAGTGACATAACTATGGTTTATGGTAGATATAACTATACCTCATGGGGCTTATAAACCAACTCATAACTTGGCTGGGGGGCACCATCCTGAAGGTGAGGGCAACAAGAAAGACCTCAATTGGACCCCTTTGCACCTGGCTGCCCACGGTGGCCACACAAGCACCGTGGAGCTGTTGCTGTCGCGCGGTGCGAAGTACAACCCTAAGGCCGGGGACGGCGGAGATATAGGAGATTATAGGAGATTTATGGGGATTGATTTATTCGGATTTATTGGGATTTATGCAAATGTGTGAGGCTTTTATATGGATTCTGTCAGGATTTCTGGAGGGATTTATGGGGATCTATCGGGATTTATGGTTCGTAGTTGGGAATTGTATCAACCACTGAGGAAATATACTTGGGATTTTACTAACCTGGATGGGGCTATAGTACAAGGTGGTGCCGGTGGTGCCCCCCCAGCGAATGTCAGGGGAAGATGTCCGTCCATCTAGTAGCATCTAGAATGGGGGATTTATACTGAATTTGCGCAAAGTTGGTGAACACATCTAGGTTATATAAATGTTGGGCTTATGGTGATGAGATACCCTCCGCCAATTAAACATTGTCTGCTATGGTCTGCTGTAAAATCCACCATTTAGTTCGGATTAGTTCAATGATTTTCCCAGCTATAATAACCTTCATTTATCTTTTTTTGTCGAGGCAGGCACGCTTTGATTACCGGAGGCTAACCATAGTTATATAACAGGGGTAACATAAACCAACTTATAACTTACGACTTAGGGGCACCACCTGATGGAAACAAAAACATGGTTTTCATAGGATAAGGTGAGTAAATGACCAACACTTTCTGGGGATTTTTCACAGGGATAACATGATAACTGATGGGGATGTAATGGTACAATAAACTAACAGTATGATTTAGATTGTTTGCGCAAGTTGGTGATGTTGTTTATCATACAGTAATTTGTCCTTCAAAAATGGCCGTTTTGGGGTATATCATTCTAAGACACATCCAAACAATGAACATTTGGATCTAGCGAATCAAACCATAAGATTTAACCAACATGTCTTCGATTACTGAAGGGTAAATTCACAACTTTCAGTCTTTCAGTAAAATGATTGTTTACTATTGTTTATTAGCTTAAATGGTCTGCATTTTCGAGTATACCTGCAAGAAAGAATACAATGAATATGACATTATGGGATATTTCATGGGATATACAGTATACACCGTTTACTGTTCTTTCTGGTTGCAGTGGGATGTTCATGTTATTCTGAGCTATTTATAATTGCAGCCCTTTGGGTGACATCAAATATGATGTGCAATCACTAATGTTAGCTCCTGATTAGTAGCTAGGGTCGCTATTGTGGCAATTTTTTCCAAATTATTCTGAAACTCATGTATTGTTTGGAGGGTTCGCTTTTGTGGCAAGACAAAGTTGGGAGAGCCCTTTTTTTTGAAAAAAAAATGTAATTGCTGAGAGGCAATTGTTTTTCTCAAAAACGCTGTAGCTCAGTCAAGTTTTTGCTCATCTCTCTATCTGAGCCTGTAAATGCATCTCTATCTGAGTAAGTTTGTTTGCTGGGTTCACTATTGCAGCAAGCTGTGCCAGAGCAGCCCCTGGAAGCCCAGAAGAGAAGCAAGCCTTTTCAAAAATTGCCAAATTCAAACTGCAATCCTTTCCCAAAAGAACCAATCCCTTATTAAACCCTTATTAAAGAACAGCTTTTCCACAATTTTCCAAGGCCCTGGACCAGGAGAGGCTTCATTTCACTTTAGTAGGTTTGTTTGCTGGGTTCACTATTGCAGCAAGCTGTGCCAGAGCAGCTCCTGGAAGCCCAGAAGAGAAGCAAGCCTTTTCCAAAGGCAATTGCCAAATTCAAACTCCAAGCCTTTCCCAAAGGAGCCAATCCCTTATTAAACCCTTATTAAAGAACAGCTTTTCCACAATTTTCCAAGGCCCTGGACCAGGAGAGGCTCCATTTCACTTTAGTAGGTTTGTTTGCTGGGTTCACTATTGCAGCAAGCTGTGCCAGAGCAGCTCCTGGAAGCCCAGAAGAGAAGCAAGCCTTTTCCACAAATTCAAACCCCAAGCCTTTCCCAAAGGAGCCAATCCCTTATTAAACCCTTATTAAAGAACAGCTTTTCCACAATTTTCCAAGGCCCTGGACCAGGAGAGGCTCCATTTCACTTTAGTAGGTTTGTTTGCTGGGTTCACTATTGCAGCAAGCTGTGCCAGAGCAGCCCCTGGAAGCCCAGAAGAGAAGCAAGCCTTTTCCAAAGGCAATTGCCAAATTCAAACTCCAAGCCTTTCCCAAAGGAGCCAATCCCTTATTAAACCCTTATTAAAGAACAGCTTTTCCACAATTTTCCAAGGCCCTGGACCAGGAGAGGCTCCATTTCACTTTAGTAGGTTTGTTTGCTGGGTTCACTATTGCAGCAAGCTGTGCCAGAGCAGCCCCTGGAAGCCCAGCAAGCCTTTTCCAAAGGAAGAGCCTTTCCCAGCCAAAGAAGCAAAGACCAGGCAAGCACTCCAAGCCTTTCCCAAAGGAGCTTTCCCAAGGAGCCAATCCCTTATTAAACCCTTATTAAAGAACAGCTTTTCCACAATTTCCCAAGGCCCTGGACCAGGAGAGGCTCCATTTCACTTTAGTAGGTTTGTTTGCCGGGTTCACTATTGCAGCAAGCTGTGCCAGAGCTACAAGTACTACAAGTACTACAAGTACTACAAATACTACAAGTACTACAAGTACTACAAGTACTACAAGTACTACAAGGACTACAAGTACTACAAGTACTACAAGAGTACTACAAGTACACTACAAGTACTACAAGTACTACAAGTACTACAAGTACTACTACTACTACAAGTACTACAAGTACTACAAGTACTACAAGTACTACAAGTACTACAAGTACTACTACAAGTACTACAAGTACTACAAGTACTACAAGTACTACAAGTACTACAAGTACTACAAGTACTACAAGTACTACAAGTACTACAAATACCACAACTTCATCGGCAAAAAAAAATAGTAATTAGATTGCAATTGTAGCCAATTGAAATCCTTACTTAATTGAGGATATGTTTTTCTTTTGGGAAGAAAATTTTTGATTTTCTACTTTAAAGAGAGTCCAGATATAGTTAAGGGAGGGGGGGTGGGCCACACACTAATCAGGAACCAACATTACCAGACAGTTCGACGTGGTTCCAACCAAACAAACCCTGGGGCAAGGCTGAGTTGACTGTGTTTTTCTCCCTGGTCATAAATTCATAAGACGTCGGATCCAATCATCATTGCCGCTGGTTGATGACACGTGTGAACAATGTCACGACTACGTATGCCACTCCTATCCTCGCCAAGGGTGAAAAAGTCCACGTTGATTTGACGGTTAGGAGTTTAAAGGTCAACCGCCACTAGATGGGATATAGCTGATGTGTTAAAGAAATCCAGTGTAGGAATTACACAATATGCCTAGTGGCATGATATCGCAGCATTATTTCCCAGTAAGATCTGTAAGAGAAGTTGGCTGATCATGTTGCCATCATATCGCCGTGGTATTCCAAGTACCCTCTGGTTATGACTAACATAGCCATGGAAGCCATGGCCCATTTATAGGTGTTTTTTCCAGCTAGAAACCTCCATTTATAAGGGATTTTCCATGGTTATGTTGTCATAACCAGATGGTATATAGAGTATATGATCGCTGGTTATCCCACTCTTTTTTCCCGATGGTTAAATTTCCTTTTCTATCCCATCATATCCAATCATATCCCCATATCACTCATATCTAAACTTTGCCCCACAGTTGTAGCCCTATAGCCTCATTTAAGTGATAATGATATATATATATATATTATATATATATGTATATGTATATTATATATATACTAGTACAACCAACTAGCTGTAGGAGTTGTTTCATCCCATTCAAGGCTCTTCTTTACAGGTCATAGCTCCGTTGGGTGTTGCGAGAAACCGCGCGCCAGGATTGCTTTGACAGGACACCACTGGAAGTGGCCAGTGGCACTTCAGGCTTAGTCTTGGCCACGAAACCCAATGCCATGCAGATCTCACGCAAGGACGGGACGAGGGATGTGGATGCTTGTGGACGTCCAGTTATGGCCCTGAAAACTGTAGGGGATAGTAGGATAAATGCTGATGTTTAATGATTTATAGTGATTTATTGTAAGTAATGAAATCGATCAATGGGATGGAATAACTCCTGCAACTGGTTGGTGAAAATATATCACTTAAATCAGGTTCTTGCAGCCGGTTATAATTGTGAAGGGCTACAACGGTAGGGTACTTGGGGGGGCAGTTGAGGGCATGACAATGGTGACTTAACCCCCCTTTTGGATCCCTATAGCCTTTAATATGCTATAATTATGTTTTTATATCCACTTATAGCTGGAACTGCACTTCCAAGTAGGGGTATCATTCTGGTAGAAACAACTATTGCCTGGAATAATTGTAATGGGAATATAAATGAATGTATTATGTTGGGAATATGAGTTGATAAAGCATCGAATGTGAGAATATATATATATATGTAGGGTTTTAAGATGTGTTAAGCATCAATAATACAGGTATATCCAGGAGTTTACGGGAATATCATGGAACAAAACAGCCGCTATATATATATATATATATATGTATTTACACACCAATAATTAGTGTTTGGCGCAACATGGTTGGAACATATTTGGATAATATACAATAATGGTGCATGCATATACATGTAATGTCATAGCGTTTACCGCCCAATCATTTATGGGCATATCATGGCATATGATGACGTGTCAATGTAATGTATTACCCTCTGGTTATTTAACATAGCCATGGAAAATGACCCATTTATAGATGGTTTACCTATTAAAAATGGTGATTTTCCATGGCTATGTTAAATAACCAAATGGAATGGTATAGCCGTTTTGGACACCAGCTGTTTAATATCGCCCCTGCTTTGGCTCGGAAAAAGACTTTTTGGGGGACGTCACAACAGGCAGCCAACAGCACAGTGTAACAAGAACCAACCTAGGGGCACAACATGGCAGGACCAGCAATAGATAGCACAAGGAGGAAGGATCCTGTTGGTTTTGTATCTCATGGGCTCAACCAAGAAAATTGGTTTGAAAATGCCCAGCAATTTCTTGCTGTAATAGGAGCAATGATGATAAAAAATCAGATCGGGTGATAGCGTTTATGCGGCAGTAGAGTTGATAGAAAAAGTTGGCACCAAAATCGCAAGTAGCCGGGTATCGCAATCGTTACAGTTATGGCCATTTATTAGTTATAACATGTTGTAACTGGTTATTTCCATGGGATTATACATTCCATAAATGGAGTGACTTAGTACTTGTAACTGTACGTACAAGTAGCTGGTATAACTCGGGCCATAACTGTAAGCAACCACAAGACTCGAAAGGATTTGCCAAAAAGAATTGGAAGTGATGGGAACATTTGATTGGATGGCCTTCGGAGTTGTGATTTGTATGGCTAGTGGTGCCCCCCCCAAGTGATGTTTGTTGGGTAATAATCGTAACTAGTTCGATATATCTGCCATAAACCCAAAGATAATTTCGGAGTTAGAAACGCATCTTAACTTTACCAACGAACTGGGGCACCACTGCACCACCTTGTATGGATAGAATCAGCAAAACATATTTTTGTTTGAGCCGCCCAAACACGGCAGTGTGTGTATATTGGGGTTGTCCAGAATAATGAAGTTCCGAACATCCGCAGTTATGGCCATTTACTAGTTACAGGTACTTATAACCCATTTGTGTAATGTATAATCCCATTTATAATCAGTTATAACTATAAATACATGGCCATAACTGCAGTTTTTGGAAACCTCATGAAATTGACATTGGCAATGAGGTTTGGCCATCCCCACTTCTGGAGAAACGTGCCATGGGGAAATTCATACTGGACGATATGTGCCATGGTTTGTCAAGTTGGAAAAACTGTACCCTCTGTTAAACGTTTACATAGCGAACTGGAAAATCACCATCTGTAAGTTCGGTAAATCAACGAACTAAATGAGCCATTTTCAATAGCAAACTGTAACAAATTACCAGAGGGTACCCATATTTTCGGGGTTGGTCATATCCCTGCTACTCGGATACCCTCTGGTAATCACTTTCTATAGCTGGAAAATCCACGATTTTAGTCATGCTTTTCCCAGCTATAAACCTCCAGTTGTATAGGATGTTCAAGCAAGCCGTGCTTGATTGCCAGAGGATAACACGGTTTATAATGATGGTTTATACACCCAATATCGGATGAGCATAGCCAGTTGATGTCGTTTGACTTGACCATGGCACATATCAAGCTGATTATATATATATATATATATGCAATCATTATCACAGTAATTATATATATGTATATGAATTCTCATGAAATCATGTTTACTTATTAATTGTGTTTTTTCTTCCCATTGTATCCCCATGACAGTCCCTTAAAATCGTTGCTTTTTGCAATGAATCAGTTTCAGGACCTCATCACATTGCTGGAGAAAGAGGGCCAGAATGCCACAGAGCCTCTGGAAAATGGCAATCAGCTTTCCATTGGGCATACCCAATTATGTTTTTATTTAAAGCAAAAAACAGATGATGATTTGATGGTACACAGGATGGGGACCCCAAGATAGCTAAATTGCCTTATAAGTGGTTTGACTATGGTTTATGGTAGATATAACTATAGATAACTATAGTTGATTGGGTTTATAAACCACCTCATAACTGGGGGGCACCATCCTGCAGCCGAAGCGTTAGATAAGAAGCGAATAACAATTTTCCAGCCTACCGTGGAGTTCTTAAGTCCTATCTGTGGAAAAATTGCCTAATGACTTGGATGATTTAGGGGATGCTGGGAAACCACAGGTATGAGGAATTTCCTCTATAAAATGGGGGGGTGATACCTACCCGGTGAGAGAATTTTTTGATCACATTTTTCCCATTCTATAGAGAGGTTACATATTCCCACTTTATAGGGGATCCTGTCGGGGGGATGTACCCCGGCGTTTTATCTCTACAAAATGGGGACCCATGACGTTCCGACTTAATTCACAAGGGGGTTCTTATGGCCATTTATTAAGTACAAGTACTAACAAAACCCCATTTATGGAATGTATATTCCCATAGAAATAACCAGTTATAACATGTTATAACTAATACATCCCAGTTGTAACCACTTATAACTAATAGCCATGGCCATTTTTCTGCACCAATTGTTGGCCATACCTTCGAAAGATTGAAACCAACGGGGCCATCATGATGGTGTATCCCCAATGATTTTGTAATTTTTCACACAGCGAAGTGGAAAATCCATGTAATAAATATGGAGGTTTCTAGCTGGGAAAATCACCTGTTTCTATGGGCCATGGCTTCCATAGCTACTGGTATGTTAAATTACCAGAGGGTACGGTTTATTGTTGGATGGATTGATTGGAACATCTGCGGGAAAGCATCGTTTTGACCTCCGAAATATACGTGATTTTCCTGTATCATTAATTCCTTTTTTAGCAATTCTGGGAATCGATGATGAACGCAATTCTGATATACCCTCTGGTAATTTAACATAGCTATTGAAAATACCACATTTATAGTGGATTTACCCATTGAAAATGGTGATTTTCCATAGTTATGTTAGTTTACCAGAGGGTACACACATTTTGTATTGACGATGAGGTGCAATCTTCCCACGACAGGTTCAGACGACATTTGCCGTTCCGCACCCCTGTGCCACAGGCTCAACTCGAAATCCTAGGGTGTTTCACAGCAATAAAAAACGCCACTCACTCGACCAATCTTTGGCTTTTTGTGGAAAACCTCTCGGTTTCGGCACTATCGTATAGTATAGTATATATATATATATATATATTATATATATATCAACTATATATATATATATAATTTTATATATATATAGAGTATATACTATGTATATATATATATGTACATGTAAAGCTGGCCATTCTTAGTTTGTTTTGTCCCTAACCCCGCGGGCCCCAAACATGGAAATCATGTCCCTTGCACTTAGGAAATCATTAAGACGTTGATGGTTGATGCTGTGGCCGTGAATGGGAAGGGCCATGCCAGTGTGGAGTGGAGCCGTGGCATTAGCCTTCGAAGCCGAGTTCGTGAGTTGAATGACATCCATTTGGGTTTTCCCAAAGCACAGCTTATGGGAATAAAACGGCATAATGTGTGTTGTTTCCTCGCCAATATGGGAATATCATGGGGATAAAAAACGGGATACATAAGTATAATCAACAAAATTATAACATTACATTTGCGGCAATTGACATGGCTATAGTTTTATGGTAGTATAGTGGGATTGGCAATCTATGTCATGTGGTTTCGCAGTAGTACAACTGGGATCTACTTGGGAAACATATCCATTTGATGATGGGAATATCATGGGGCCAAAATTGGGATATAGTTAATATTTGGGGTTTACCATCAATCATGGGGTTATAACATGTCACACCCAACAGTCAATCAAATATTGTGATAACTGTTTTATAACATCATAGTAACTTAATATGATATTTGTGCAGTCAGCAATATGACATGGGTTTGTTTCAATACATGGTATACTGCAAATTTCTATTTGGCGAAAATGATGCAATGGTCAACCGTTGAATTTGGGGGTACCATATCTGGAGAAGCCAGAGGGGTTTGGAACACAGAACATGAGGCTTCGCCACTGTGAGTGATTTCAAACCTCCTATGCTTCGCATATCGGTGTTTTACCCATGGGTCTTGTAGATTTTTGGTTTGTTGTGCACCATTCTTATTTGTATGTTTTGGTTTCTTAATGCAGAGTTACATATAGCGTTCGAATTCACTGTAAATACTGTAATCAACATCCCCACATGTTCAAAGAAACCACTTGTTTGATGATATTCTCACTAAACAAGCTTAGATTTGTTTGTTTTGTGCTTTACATGTCCGCAACAGATCCCGTTTCAGGACATACAAACATGGTCACTTTACAAACCCGAACATTTTGATTTTGAACTGCCTGCTAGCTGAAATTGTCCAACATGACGAGCTCAGTGGCCCTGAATTGTGCCCATTGTTTGATTCGCTAGCATCAGCGTACAGCAACATTGCAATTGGTTCACCCTTGGTTATACGGCCATCATGACAGCATTTTGAATCAGCAAACATTTTGGAAATCGCCAGCTCATGTAAAGGATTGAACAGAAATGATATATACTGACCGATGCAATACTGACCGATGCAAGACAAAGATCCACTTTGGATATACCCAGAAACTATCCTGATCGACTGGCGTTGCTGGGTGGGATTTGAAAACCAACAAGACTTGGAATTGATTTTAATTTGTTTTGCAAGACACAATGGTTAGATTATCAGTTTCAAGATAGACATAGACTCCACCTGGAACCCAGTCTCAATCAGAAATAGCCATGGTGGTTTTTCCATGTCCATTTGGTACGTAAGGATTCTTCACTACCATTGGGAAACAACCATTTGTTCCAGGCGAGTGTATTATTTGGATGTTTTGATGGTTTTTTATCGTTACACCATGCTCCACCACTCCATCTTGGATATGTCTATTAGTTTGTACATCCACTGTTTGTAAACAGCCTAAAGGATAAAATGTCTATAAACAGGTAATCAACTACTAAACAGGTGATGAAATGGGATGTACAAACTAAAGGATGAGATATCTATAAACAGGTAAATCCTGTTAGATTAGTTTATGAATAGCCTTTATAAATAGCCTTTACATCTACCCTTCACATCTAGCCTTATAGGTAAATCTAAAGAATCTCGATATCTACCCTCCGGCAACGTGGCTGGAAAATCCAGCATTTAGATTGCCAGCATTTCCCAGCAAAAAACCACATTCGATTGCCCAAGGGTAACATTTCTAAGTGATTAATTCCCAATCTATCTCATTATACCACCATTGCTGTTGGTTAGTTGGTTAGATTTCATGAAAATTATCAATGAATGTAGACATCTACACATAGTGGCCCCCTAGTAGGTTGGTTTATACACCCCATTATCTATAGTTATTTGCGTATCATAAACCATGGTTATTGGAATGATGTTCGCCAACTTAGCTACCATTTAGCTATACATCATAATGAATCATGAATCATGAATTGATTCATGATTCATTATGAATCCCCTTAAATTACCATAATCACCAGTTAATCACCATTTTCCGCATGTTTTCTAGGCACCGGCCCTGGCGATTTTGAACACCTTCCCGACCTTCCCGCTCTCCCAGGAAGGGCGAAGCTCGTTTAGCCGAGCGTTTGCAGGCGAGCGGCGGAGGGTGAATGAAACTCATTGAAGCTTTGTTTTCCTATGGATCTTACAGTTCAAGCCTGAAATACTAGTTATTTGTCCCATTTCTATGGTTTTAAATGGGGTTATACATTCCATGGGGTGACTTGACTTATAAACTGCTTTATTGGGCCTGAAGTGTATGAAAAAAATGTGGTTAGAGATCAACCGCTGAGGATTTCTAGATGATTGACCTTCAAAAAATGGTGATTTTACGTAGCAAACTGTTAGTTTGCTGTAGAGTAGCCCTGTTGATTGCCTATGAAAGATGGGGTTATTAACATTTATTAACTACCTAGTTGTTTTGGGGATGATGCTCTTTTTTGGTAAAGATACATTTTGGCAAACCAGCATAACGGGATAAAATTTAGTTTTATGCATGCCTCGTTTGATGTTGTAAAAAAGACGAGAGTGTTCCTATTTTCAGCTGATTTACTTTTAATATCATTTTGTTTGGGTTACTGCTGGCACATCTCCACAATCTATACCTGAGTTAAATTGTACCCTAACTTTATGGTATGCAGTTGCTTCTCCTCCGCGTACTTCGTTTGCCACCCCCATTATTTGTGATTAATGTCCCATTTCTATAGCTTGCGGGAAAAGACATTTTATTTGAAGTTCCAATTGAATACCAGGTATGCGCTCGAGAGCTAATAAACATAAAAAAACAGTGTATCTGCCATAAAAATCCCAATGTTTCTTGCTCAAAGTCTAGGTCTTTTGCTGCAGTTATGGCCCTTTACCAGTTATGAGTATATACTTAAAACTAACATGTATAATCCCACTTATAACCAGTTATAACTAATAAATGGCCATAACTGTGGTTATACACCACCAATTCCACTCAGTGACTGGTTGATAACGCTGGTTAGCTGGTTAGTATGTCCCGGTTTCTTGGCTTATCCCAGCTATCAAAGTGGCGCATAACCCCGCGAACACGTGGGATCAAACAAAAACCAAATACCAAGTTGGTTACATAGTACATAGCCAGTATGTTCCCATGATCATACATTATAGCCATTTTATGTTTGTGTCCCAACAAATTGTTGACGATATATTTCCAATTTGTATACATAGCCATTATATATATAACACTATATATAAATATAGATCTAATTTTTAGATAGCCATTATTAAGAACTATATATATAGCCATGTATGGCAACTATTAATAACATAATTTATATATCATGGTTGGTTATATTCAGTATAAATCCCTAACAATTCCGCGGTAAATTCACCCAAAGTCTCGGAGAGCTGCAGGTGGTAACCTGTCCGAGGTATACTACCAACATTCGGACGTCCTTGACAAGGCGAGAGAATCCTGAGCTGGGACCCACAAATGGAACCGAAAGGGAAAAAAACTATGTGGTTTAAAATTAACATGTCGCTGAGTTGTGTTTGTTCAATCAAGATTTACTTGGCTAACTTGGCTAACTATGTTTTTTGGGGATGGAACTGCAGTCATTGGGCTTTTTCTAGACCAACAAACAGGCCTGGTTTGGAGATGGCGAGGTTTTTCAAAGGAGCCCAGCAAGTCCTAAAAGATAATAGTCAATACCATCTGGTAAACTAACACAACTATGGAAAAGCACCATTTTCAATGGGTAAACCCACTATAAATGGGCAATTTTCAATAGCTATGTAACAAATTACCAGAGGGTATCGTCCTATGGATAGTATGGTCACCGGGGATGCCCAAGTCAGGCAGCAGCAGCAGCCCTACAACCTCTTCTACCTGGCAGATCTCAAACTTTTCCTGGCACCAAGGGTGGAATCGTGATGATGGTGCTCTAGGTTTTTGTTGGTGACAATGGTGCCTGGACAAAGGCGACAATGGTGCCGAGAAGGAGGTGCAAGTTCTTCTAGCAGAAGATGAAGGAGCAGGTCAGGCGGCTTTGCAGATGAACCACAATGGGTTGCGGAAATGGAACAGTACCTCGCGGTGCTTTTATCATAGCTGAGAAGGCCTATTGGGTGGACAATGAGTACACCACAACCGCACTCGAAGAGATGTACAATCGTTTGAGATTGGCTTGGCTACTGCTGAAGAATGGAGAATTGGATACAAGTGGAGGTCATGAAGGAGCGGATGCCCCTGCCCCGTGTCAAACTTTACATGCAAAAGCCTGGCTTTGGGAACAAGCCGGAGAATTTGATATTGATCCCAGATACTGCATGATGCTGGAATATGTACCTATATTTACCTCAAATATAACCCAAATGTAAGTAAATATTCATAAATATTCCTTACATGGAGCATTTGGGGATATTAACATGGACCTTATATTGAATCCATCAGACAATCGGTGCCTCCACAAGCCTGAAACCTGTTCCATGTTCCAAGGAGGGTATGGATCACACATTTTTTCGTTTCATATCGTGATAGGTCCGAAAAAAAAAAAGGTCCCAAAAGAAACAGATGGACCAGATGCACGCTGGTGTTTACGACGGGGGGATCGTACAACATTAGTAACATTTGACCCAAGGACTTGACACATGCGAATATGTGCAGTATATCTAGAGATAATTGATACGTATAAGTGGCGGACAAAATTACTTACCACTCTCAATGGACATGGCCAAAGTGGTTGGTCCCCTATCGGTTGTGAAGGTTTTCACACAAATTTGAACATCCAAAGTCCACTCTCTACCTACATACATACATACATACATACATACATACATACATACATATATATATAATATATTAATATTATTCTTATTATTAGAATTATTTTTATTATATTTGTACAAGCAAGTATGTAAAAGAACCGCCTGCAGCCTTGAGTCTTCCCCTTCCAAGCCGCCATCTCCGGGTCTGCCTCCGCCAGGCAGTTTCCCTTGGCCCAAGTCAGGGATGACGATTTGGATCTGAAAATGTTGGATATCAATTTACTCTACTTCCCGGAGGTTAAGGCGGAGAACCGGCTTGGGGATATCATTGGGTGGTTTTGGTAAAACTGGGTGGTTTTGTTGTGGGTTGGGGTAAGTTATGCTTGTCATATCTAGCTAGCATTGAAGTATGGTATATCAACAGTAGTATAGAACTATAGATATCCACTGATGATTGATGAAATCCATTCAAAACCTTTCACAACCTTCTTTTTTGCTGGTTGACGCAGTCAACTTCCCTAAAAAATGGTCAGACCATAACATCAAGCACCAGTAAACTGACCCACCCGGCCACCCAACTTGTGGCCGCCCTGGCGTTTCAGGTGCTTCTAAAGGCATTGCCATACTTCGAAGCCTCCATGGTGAGCGACCGCATCTCGCTGGAAGTCGTCTCTGCTTGGGCCGATCTTTGGGTCACTTCAAAGGTAAATACAACTGGCAAAGGTGTTTTTGAAAGGCCATATTTAAGCGACTTCCCATAAACTGAAGGACAATTGAGGTTTTAACAAGCAAACTGAAGGGATTTGCAGTGAAATTCTACGAGCTAAGCTGTGGTTTATGATTTGGATTTCTAGGGTTGATGGTAGATGGTCGTCATGATATACCTCTGTCTTGTTTTGGGTGGCCACAAAGCTATAACTTGGGGGGGCCATCACTCTGGGAGGATTTTTTCTTTCATGGGATGAATGAGAAAATCTCGGGATGCTCCCAGTATTTGGTGATTTTGTCATGGTTCTCTCTCTGGCAGTTACCATTTGGTTATTTAACATAGCCATGGCAAATCACCATTGATAATAGGTAAACCATCTATAAATTGGCCATTTTCCATGGCTATGTTAAATAACCAGAGGGTAATCATGGTTTTCTCTCTGGCAGTTACATATCACCAGTATTGCCAATCACCTTTGTATTACCTTCTTGAGTAATTAGCAGTATTGGTTAGTTCCAATGTGGATATTTGTATATTGGTAATGATTACCAACCTTTTTGTTAAGTATCACCAGGTTTAGTATCACCTATTAAACTTGATGTGTATTTCCAGTTACTGTACACTGTACATATCAGAATTACATATCATTATCCCCATGAATATGACATGAAATCACCATGAAAAAAGTCCTTGCTTGGAGCATCCCCATGGCCCCATTTACCCTGTGGTACTCAAACGTGGCCGGAAAATCCCCAGCCGTTTGATGATTTTCCCAGCGTGAAAAAAGCTCCATTTAGCGCGGGAATTCCCCAGCCAGCCACGGTCGATTACTGAAGGGTAGTACCAATATTATCGAACGTGCTAAATGATATTCCATGTTTTCCTGTTATACAAGCATTGCTATTGGTTGGAACCCCATGTTCAACGGTTAAAGCCACCATTTATCATGTCACCTGTTTGCTTGATACGGTGATATTCCTGCTTGTACGAGTGAAACCGCTATTTTTCTTGTACTATCTTCTTCTTTGTTAAACCACCATGAATTTCGACCAACGCATCACTTTTTGGGGACGAAAACCTTGACCCATGGCCCTCAGGAGAAGTCTTGGCCGCTTTGGCCAGCACGGGGAATGAAGCGACCTTGGCCACCGACACCGTACAGGCGATGATTGCCGCCGCATGGGCCAAGGTGGAGCTGACCCGGGCGAAGCTGCGCATGGCGATGGGGTGAACACCGTGTGACTTGTTGATTTACAAGTAGATGAACTGTAGTTTATGGTATATAATTATTTAGAAAATTATATATATATATAATAAATATCCATATAGTTAGATGGGTTATAAAGTTATAAAAACAAACAGAACTGGGGGGGCACTTTGTAAGTTGGTTTATGACTTGGTGAAGTAGGGTTCAAGGTTTGTAAACCAACTTTCAATTGGGGGGTCCATCTTGTACTTAGATGATCTTAGATGGGCCATGAATTGAACGAGACCGGATTGGTTAACTTTTCTTGTTAGTGAACTGGTTTGAAAATGGATTAGATTAATGCGGAGTGGGTATGACCCCCCTGGGAACTAGTCCTATGGCCCATCTAGGTAGGAATATGATGAAAAATCATGAAAATGATGGGAATCTTGTAGGAATTTAATGGCTGATCCTGAAGTTTTATCAGCCGCAATGGCAATATCATGGGGATTTGTTTGTTATTTTTGCCAAGAACATATGGCTTTTGATTAACATCAACAAAAACAAGAGAAACACCTACCAAACAAAAAATTGGGGTAGAAACAAAAAAAGGCATATAATTTGCGGTAGGAATGGGTATGGTATGTATCGATACGGGGTTTTGACATGCTTTTCAATGTTGTGAGTTGCTGACTCCCCTAGTTTTGTTTATACGGTAGACCAACACACGCTTCGGCGCATGGAATATCCTGGATCATACAATGGGAGTGTTTCATGTTGCTTAAGGACAACCAGAGGCCCTTTATGTATATGTTTTCATCATGGCTCAAACGACATTCAAACCGATTCCGATGATAACATTTGTAGGGATTGACATCGATAAACACCAAATACTTTATGGTTTTCAGCAAATATAATTACTGGGGTGAACTAGTTTATCGATCCATGCCCCATCCAAACCAGCTTCAAGATTATGGCTATATCAATCCCATCCCCCTAGTATGAAACACCACAATGGCCATGGTTCCGGTGTACAAGAAAAAATCCACCGACACGTTGATCCCATTTGGTATGGCACGCAGCGTGCACTAAAAATACACCTGGACCCTCCAAGTACAGGCAGGAACTGGTATGTCACCCTATGATTTCAATACGTTTACTGCTTGGAACAATGTTCTTGGAACATTTTTTTGTGGTAGCACGACAATGGTTGAACGAGTTCTTGGGGGGGCAGTTGAGGGTAGAACAATGGTCATAAAGGATAACTCCCCTGTGCTTGCTGGGATATACTGTATACTGTATATATATATATATATTATAAATAAGCCTTATGTGTATTTATATATCCACATATATCCACTTAGAATTGGAACTGCACTTTGTGAATCACAAAGAAAGCCTATCATTATTCGATGCTCAAATCATCCCAAATCCCTTAGTTTGGTTTTGAAATCCCCAATTAGCCTTGCTTAATTCCACATTTTTTGTGAACGGACTAAGTCCAAATTTCGGCTGATGACATCTTCAAGGCCCCCAACTATGATTGATTAAATCCATGTTTTGGCAGTTTCTGTTAGCTGATGTGTTCTAAATTCTCCAACCATTATTTCGCAATTTTTCTCCCAAAAAAACACACAGAAACACCCCAATCATGAACTAAATGCCCACTGTTCCTATAGTTAAACCATGTTAGATTAAAATCCTCATGTTTTCTGGGTGAAATCCTCACATTCATTTTTCATAAAGGGGGTTCCCTAACGCTTCCCCACCCGCAGTTATAGGCCCTTTTCCGGTTCGAATGACATTGCTACCATGAGGTTTTTTCAGCCAAATATAACTGGCTATTTTTGGGCCATAACTCTGATCCTTTCTTCAAACGTCCAACCCTTCAAGTTGGTGCCCCCCAGGTATTTGTGCCCTTTTTTAATAATTAGTTCGATATTGAATTGGAGTTATGTGGCCCCCCCACTTAGCTATGGGCCCCGTTCATCAACCCATGTGGCTTAACCTGGCCTAACCGTTAATGCTACCGTCGCGACTTGCCCTCGCCAGGTGCGGAGCCGCACGGCCGCCGAGATCATGCTGAACGCCATCAACGTCTCGCTGCTCTGCTACGTCTCGGTGGCCTTTCGCACGGGCCAGGCACCACCCGATAAGGCGCACGGCGATGACATGGGCGCCGGCTTTGTCAGCGGCTTTAAGCGAGGGGTTGATGCCAGCAAGCTTAGACTTATGAAGAAAAACTATGGCGTTTTTATTCAGAGCTTTTGTTGCTGAATCTATGTGAATCTGAAGGTGGTTCAATTCATGGTTTGAGGAAAGACCTATAGTGGATTCTTTGCTTTGCCGAACAATATAGACGTGGGAAGAGTCAGAGAAGAGAAAGGAAGAGGAAAGAAGATCAGAGAAGAGAAAGAGTCAGAAGAAAGAAGAGTAAAGTGCGCAAAAAAGGTAGAACAGTCGCGAAACACTGTTGTTCCGATGTTATGTGGCTCCGGAGTGTCGAAAAGTAAGCTCGCTAAAGCGGCGGCTGCGGAGCCATCTGGTCGCACGCCGAAATGGCGCGAAGCACATTGAAATTGGAGGTCAAAATGTCACAACCACCTCATGCTCGGGTTGAGGTGTTGAAAGGTGCACGCGGCTGTGGCGCAAAGCACGTTTCGAAGTCAAAATGCAAAAAGCACCGCATTGTCGGAACACTTTTGGATGTTGAGAGGCTGAAAAATTGCACGCCGTTTAGGCGCGAAGCACATTTCGAAGTCAAAGCGGTAAAAACACACAGCGTTCGGACCCGTCACCGCGCGATCAAGGGGCCCCAAGCGTGCCACGAGAGCCAGCCCAGTACCATAAGTGCCACGCCTGCCACGCGAAACGAAGGTCGATGTCGCCAAGTGCCACGCTTGCTAGGAAAAACGACGGTAGATGTCGCCAAGTGCCACGCCTGCCACGCAAAGTGCCGCGGCGTCACCGCGCGACCAAGGGGCCCCAAGCGCGCCACCAGAGCCAGCCCAGTGCCATAAGTGCCACACCTGCCACGCGAAACGATAGTTGTGTGACAAAGGTGTGTGTGAAAGATGGTGTGTGACAAAGTTGTGTGTGAAAGATGGTGTGTGACCAAGTTGTGTGTGAAAGATGGTGTGTGACCAAGTTGTGTGTGAAAGATGGTGTGTGACCAAGTTGTGTGTGAAAGATGGTGTCTGAAAGATGGTGTGTGACCAAGTTGTGTGTGAAAACTGAAAAATGGTGTGACAAAGGTGTGTGTGAAAGATGGTGTGTGTGTGTGACAAAGTTGTGTGTGAAAGATGGTGTGTGACCAAGTTGTGTGTGAAAGATGGTGTGTGACCAAGCTGTGTGTGAAAGATGGTGTGTGACCAAGTTGTGTGTGAAAGATGGTGTGTGAAAAATGGTGTCTGAAAGATGGTGTGTGACCAAGTTGTATGTGACAGATGGTGTGTGACCAAGTTGAGGGAGGCGGAGGCGGAGGCTTTGGGGCGTAGGGGGAACGGGATACAGAATCAAAAACAAGAACCCCACACAAAGATGTGGGGAACAACTGATCCCTTTTCACTCCACAACCTAATCGGGGGCCCCCAAGACGATAGCTAAGTTTGCCAACTTAACTAGGGAAATTTTATGGTTTATGGTAGAGATGTCCAACTAGTTAATGGATGTTGATTGGGTCTATAAACCAACAAACATCACCGGGGGGCATCACCTTGTAAACGCATCAATGAACAATTGCTTCATTAAAAAACAACCCAATGATTCTCAGCAGATCAGCAGAAAAATGATCTCAGCAAATCTGTTGATTTGGTACTTGTCTGAAGGATTGGGAATCTATACCATCATGTTTCAACATTCATACATTTATTGGTATAGATGGTGAATTTCGATCATTTACATAGCTACATGTGGCATCTCTCTTTCACTGCGTATTACAGGACTAAGCCAAGCCAGGTCATACGAAGTGTTGCACCTGTCACGCAAAATCATCTTAGCAAAGCTGAAAATCTGATGCTCCAAAATGCAGCCCCTCTCAGGAAATCAGCGCCGTGACCTCCGAACATGTCTGACTGAGGTGCCTCTTGTATACTGTGCCTGCCAGGCGAAATGCATCTTTGCAGATCCTCTTGGAACATCCCACACTCGCAATCCTTCTTGCAAATGCTACAAAACCCACACATGTAGCGTGGCAGGCGTGGCACTTGGCGACATCTACCGTTGTTTTTCCATGGCAAGCGTGGCACTTGGCGACATCGACCTTCGTTTCGTGGGAGGCGTGGCACTTGGCGACATGGACTTTCCATTTGCGTGGCAGGTGTGGCAACTTTGTCACATACCATATTTCACACACAACTTTGTCACACACTATCTTTCACACACAACTTGGTCACACACCATCTTTCACATACTTTCACATATAACTTTGTCACACACTATCTTTCCCACACTTTCACGCACAACTTTGTCACACACCATCTTTCACACACAACTTGGTCACACACCATCTTTCACACACAACTTGGTCACACACCATCTTTCACACACAACTTTGTCACACACCATCTTTCACACACAACTTGGTCACACACCATCTTTCACACCCAAAAAAAATGTCACACACCATCTTTCGCACACAACTTTGTCACACACCATCTTTCACACACAACTTTGTCACACACCATCTTTCACACACAACTTTGTCACACACCATCTTTCACACCATGTGTGTGTGCGCTCCTGGGGTTATGCAGAGCGACCTATGGTCATCTGTCAACCCGTTGATGGGTGGAAGCACTTGCATCGTTTAGTTGCGTGTCACTGTACATAATCTTTCTCACACATACTTGTGTCACACACATCTTTCACACACAACTTTATCACACACACAACTCTTCACATACAACTTTTTTTAACCTCTCGATCCTCCACCACCTCCTTTGTCTTTCCTTCCTTCCCCGTCCCGCTACAACTTTTGTTTCTCATTATTGGAAGAAGTTGACTTGTGGGGTTATCCGGTCCTTTTTTTTTCCAGGCATGGTTTCAAGACCCTCTTATGTGACTAGGCATAAGTTTTACGCACCCATGTACCTCAAAATGCCATGTTTGGGTTGATCGTTATATTCCTCATTAAATTGCAATAGATTGTGGTATCCCTCCTTGGTCCCATGATCTGATTTTTTTTAATGACTCCGGAGGTAAATTCTCAGACACACCTAGCATAGTTTTGGTCGTATACCCCCCGATATCCAAGTATTTAGGCCCATAAGAAAACCCATTGCCATTTTGCCAATGTTGCATTCAGATACATCCCCGTGATATCCCCATTTTTTGCCACCAGCAGATTTGCAGCCGCCAAATCCCTCAATTTGTGCTTGTTTGATCCCTGAACATACTATATGCCCATGTTGCCAATGTTCTCCCTGCAGGTGTTGTATATCCTGATCTTCATTCACATGAAAATGACCTTAGAAGAGCTGGCACAACAAGTGCAAGCCCTTGGTACTCAGCTCCACAATGCTGCCAAGTCCATCGTCGACAGTCAGCTGCTGGGCAGCTGTCTTTCTAAGGGGTCCAGGGGGGCGGGAAGAACCGGGGGGCCCAAAGATGGTGCAATGATATGGTTTGATCAGTGTCAAATTATGGGCTAATACTTGGATTTTGTTTACCAACCAGAACGGGAACGTACTTTGGATTTTACCAACCAGAGTGGTGCTAATATATTCTCCGCAAAGGTGCGCGGGGACAAGGCGCAAGCCTCGCAGAGAGAACAAAAATTCAAGCGCTGAGCAAGGTCCTAAGGTGCTGCTAAACGATAGCTAAGTTGACTTATAATTTGAATCACTGTGGTTTCTGAGGAATATCATGACCGGTTTGTATTCATGGTTTGGATTCTGAATGATTTTTGGCCTGTTTCCATGCCGATCTGAGATGATGATCATGTTTAAAGGGAGAAACCCGAAACTAGTACAAGTTGGTTTATAGTTTATTATGTGGCCAGGTGAGTCTGAGTCTCAATGTTAGCCAGTTCCGTGGTTAACACGTCATGTTAGATTAGTTGTTGACTGGAAGGGAACTATCATCGTTTTATCGCAAAGAAACGAGATACATCTGGAGTAATCAGCCACATGTCCACCTCGATTCACGTTTGCGTTTCTTTCCTTAAGGTCAACGTTAACAAAAAATGACGAAGAACCATTGATTTATTCTACTGAAGATTAGCATCGCACATCGGAGTGAGTCAACTTTGCGGACCGCCTTCCCCATGATTTGTGAAGAGCTGTCAGCGGGACCGAGTAGACAAACCTTAGTTTGGGCATTGGGTTGTTGACTCTGATGGAGGAATATCATATCCTACTAATGAAGAACGAGCCTCCCAGGGAATTTGGAGGGGCATCTTGGCTAGATGCATGTTTGGCAAACTCTTATATCTTTGGGCAATGCTTAACATGAATAGGAACTACTTCAGATCAAGATATTGGTTTTGGGCTTGCAGGTCCTTACCCATTGTAACCTTGTTTGGTGCTTCAAATCCAAGTGCTGGTATTGAAGTCATGTTGTGCTGTTGCTTAAAACAGACAGCGTAGAAACCACATACACACATACACACATACACACATATCTATCTATCTATCTATCTATCTATCTATCTATCTATCTATCTATCTATCTATATGATATATATATATATATATTTAGCAAGCCCAAAGAAGATAGAAAGGTCGAAAACCTGGAAATATGTGTTAAATATCATCTATATGTTAATCTCTGGAAACACTTTTCTATATTTTTTAGAGATGGCTTTACTCGTAACTCGTATGTATATATATATATATCAAATATGTATATATATATATATATATATGTTTGTGGATACATACATAGTCATCTCGAGGTTGAACCACCAGACACCAGAATCCCCATGGTTTGGAACAGAATTTTCCCGATGAAGATTGCCATTCTTTTGCTGTGCCCATCCCCGATTTTCAGACAAACCCATATCACTTCTATATAACCATTATTGTTCGCCTGGATACCCTAAATGGGATTTAATAGGTCATTATTGCCTATACTGATTTAGTAAATCTTTAGTTCATATGTTTATACATGTTAAATCCATGATGTCCCGGAAAAAACATCCCTATGTTTTACCATATATATATATGTACGTATATATTATCGAACGAAGTTTAGCAGTCAAACTTCCGACAATATGGACAGATGGAAAAGCAGAGGTGGGAAGATTCAGAGAAGAGAAGAGAAGAGAAACAGTCAGAAAAAAGAAGATGCAGGTGCGTGAAAAGGTAGAAAAGTCGCGAAACACTGTGTTCTTCCCGATGATTTGTGGCACCAGCGGGTCGAAAAGTAGGCTCGCCAAAGCGGCGGGTGCGAAGCCATCTGGGCAGATGAGAGATGAACAATTGCACGCCGTTGTGGCGCGAAGCACATTTCCAAGTAAAAATGTACAAAACACACCATTCTCGGACCACTTTTGGAAGTTCAGATGATGAAAAAGTGCACGCGTTGTGGCGCGAAGCACATTTCCAAGTCAAAATGTACAAAGCACACCAGCCTCGGAGCACTTTTGGAAGTTGACATGTTGAAAAAGTGCACGCCGTTGTTGTGCGAAGCACATTTCGATGTCAAACGTGTTAAAGACTGACGGGTTCGGAGCTTTTTTTGAAGTTAAAAAGTTGAAAACGTGCATGGCATAGTGGTGCGAAGCACATTTGGAAGTGAAAATGGTGAAAGCACCACAAGTTCGATCCACTTTTGGAAATTCAGATAATAAAAAAACGCACGCCGTTGTGGCGCGAAGCACTTTTCGATGCCAAAAATATTAGAAACTGACAGGTTCGGAGCACTATTTGAAGTTGAGCTGTCGAAAAAGTGCACGCTGTTGTGGCGCGAAGCACATTTCGATGTCAAAAGTGTTAAAAAGACTGACGGGTTCGGAGCTCTTTTTGAAGTTGGGATGATGAAAACGTGCACGGTGTAGTGGCGCGAAGCACATTTGGAAGTGAAAATGGTGAAAACACCGCATGTTCGAACCACTTTTGGACGTTCAACCGCACCACACTACACTACAACAAAACACTACAACTACAACTGCAACTACTACAACAACTACAACTACAACTTCAACTTCGAATACACTACAACTAGAACTACAACTTCAACTTCAACGACAACTACACTACAACTAACACTACAGCTAACACTACAACCAACACTGCAAATACAACTACAGCTTCAACTTCAACTACACTACACCTACAACTACAACTGCCACTTCCACTACACTGCAACTACAACTACAGCTACAACTACAGCTATAACTACACTACAACTACATTACAACTACAATTACAGTTACAACTGCCGCTACAGCTACAACTGCAGTCACAACTACAACCACAAGTTTAACTTCAAATGCACTACAACTACAACTACAAGTACAACTAACACAACAACTACACTACAACTTACACTACAACTACATTACAACTACAACTACCACTTCACTACAACTTCCACTACCACTACCACTATATCTACAGCTACAAACTACAACTACAACTTCAACTTCTACTAGACTACAACTATAATACAACTACAATACAACTACAACTACAACTGTACCATTACACTGCAACTACAACTACAACTACAACTACACCACACCACACAACAACCACACTACATTCAGCAGTTGTGGGTGAGTTGACCACTGCAACCACTCCCAAAAGCATAACTCCAACCACCTTTCGGCCCATCAGTGGATTCGCTCTGCCATCCATGCATCACAACAACTCACCTCTCCTGTAATTGTCTATCCTTGAAACTTCCGCCAGCGCCTTGTGCGGTACTATTGGTATGCGTTCATATTTTTGAGAAAGTTAAATATGTTTTTTTGGAATACGCACATACATATTTATATATATATATATTTTATATCTAATATATATTGATCTTTTTCAACCCATATATGTACTTCAATAAATATATACATATATATATATATATATATTTAGTCCCCATGTTTAAAAGTCTTCCAGCTTCTCTAAGGACTGTGACCCTTCCACCCTTTTTGGATGTCGATCAGCTCACAGACCTTGGATATCAGATCTTAGGCGCGGACTGTGACGCCCGGACTCGGGACCGGGGCCAAGGTCAGGTGGTGAGGCATCCCATTTACGAAACCGTAGGAAAAATTGTTATATAACCAAGAAGGATATGAATTTAATGGGATTTACATGGATGCATCTGAATATATATATATAGTTATATGCATATATACACACATACTCGTAGTATAGTTTCTGTTCAATGGGAGTTTTTGTCCATCTAAATCAGGGGAAATGACGATTTAAACAACAAAAACTCTGATTTTCCAAGGTTCTTTATTTGTGATAGTTAAGTTGGTGAACATCACTTGGTTAACTGTTGGATCTATATGTGATTATAGTCTAGTATTCATGCAAAAATATACATCAATTCATAATACATATATCCGGGGGGGTTCCTTGTGGTGAGTCATCTGAGAAACTGGTCAGTGGGGGGTCAATATTTTGAGGTCGGACCACGAATGTGTGAACACAGGTGCGGGCACTGTTTACTGTACCCTCTGTTAATTTAACATAGTTGTGGAAAATTAGCATGTTTAATAATGTTTCATAGATATATCATCTGAGGGGTCATGTTCCATGGCAAACTGTGGAATTACCAGATTTTTTTTTTCAATCCGAAGCAGTGGGTATCTAATTTTGACTGACATCCAAATGACCAAGTTTAAACTGATTTGGGGTGACCTCAGCATTAATGATACTTAGTTTGGGGAATCATCGCTAAAAGTAATCGTTTTCAATTTTCATTACTGCGTTTATAATTAGTAGCTGTTATTTTTGTTATTATTATATATATATATATACATACGACTCATGGGTAGTATGGGGTACTGTGGGGGTTGCGCATCCAATCCAAATGTACTGTAGATATAGATCTCAGTTTGAATCTCAAATTTGGTCATTTCAAGACAAGACATATAGATCTGCGTAGATTGACGAGTTGCGAATTGGAAGCTATGAAGTGTAGATTGTTTAGCGACTTGGAAATAATCTCTCTGCAATAGTTGAAGGGTAGATTCTTGGGAGGGACCAACGCGATGAAGCCCAGTCTTGCTGGCTTTCCGCAGATTGGCTGATGAGATTCCAGGTATTGATAGGTAGCCTGATGTATTAAGTATTCGCCAACTTATTGTTGTTCAGTGCTGCAAAGCAATGCTTGCGTGTCAATGGGAACATAGGCTATCATATAAGTTACCAATTGATAGCCTGTCCTTGTCAACTGGAGTCACCATTCCTTTTCTTTCACCTCGTATCATTAAAGAACCATCGCTAATCCCCATGCCATGTCAACTTGTCCCCAAATCCTATGGTTTGTCATGATGTTCCGTATAAACATGTGAATTTGGGGATGCATATACACAATTTTCAGACGAAACCAACTATCATCTCAAATTGATCGATAAAGCACCATCAATTACTATAAACCGCCCTACATTCCCATGCCATGTATCGTTTGAATGACCTTTCAATGGCTACACCTGGCCATCAAACATCGTGACATCCAAGTGGTGATGACCGCAGGCTGCACTGCGTTGTTCAGGCAGATACAAAGCCCAGAGAAGCTTGGAAGCAGTCCAAGCATGGTGCAATGATATGGTTCATAGTGATTATGCCAGGTAATATGTAATGTTTTTGTAGTGATTTGTAATGACCACAATGGTATATTGTGTGGGATTAATGGTCATTCATAGTGATTCATGGTGATGAATCAATCACTCAGTTCCGATCTCTCGGAAAGTTTTTTTAGAAATCACAAGTTTCCTACAAGATGGGCCCCTCCGATAGCTAAGTTGGTAAACATAATTCCAAAGATCAGAGTTGAAACTGTTTATGGCAAGTAATTGCCATATAATCTATGGTTAGTGTTTCCTACAGTAACATTTATGGCAATTAGAACTATAGTGTTATAACAGGGTTAATCATACACCAATGTTTTTCTATTTGGAGGCCCCTTTTCTTGTATGAGCAACATGACCAAAAATATGTCAACTTATATACTAGTCGATCATCACTTCTCCCACCGTAGGAGTGATATCCACAAGGGGATGAACTGGTGATCTGATCTGGTGTGTTTGGAAGCAGCCCTGTCTATACCCCAAACAATGGCGACTTGTAATACTAGTGAGTCACCATGGCGGGGCTTTGGTGCGTCAGCCGGCTACAAACGTATTAGCATCGCAGCATCACGTTGTTTGATGGATGTTTGCTGGCTCAGCACCGAATGTGTTGATGGCACTGTATCAAAGGTATCATCCTGTTGAACGCGCCAACACCTGTTGAACCAGCCAGGGGATTGCATTCCCCTTCTAACTATATAAGTCTTCTTTGTAGATGAATTAGGGTTGTTTTTTTTGGAAGGTGGCTCACTTCTGTCAATGCACTAGAATGGTGCTTGCCCAGACTTCAAAAGAGCATATTTCTAATTTTTAGATAAAGTTTGCCATTTTGAAGAAAGGATATTCTGTTTGGGAACTACATTACCTGAAGTTCCCCACTGCAATCTTCCATTTTCTGTCAAAGTATTCTACTGTATAGTGGAGATGTATCTTACTTTCCAAGGTGTGTTTTCCTTTTGTGTTTTGCCACGTTTTGAAAACAATACCTATCATTGTGTTCTGGAGGAATCATTTTTTGCAGGTGAAAGTATGTTATTTCTCTGGGTTGTGCTTCCCCTTTGTGAACATCACATCACAATATGACCATAGCCCTGCTTTATTTCCAAAGAATACAGGACGAATTACTTTACTTCGAGTGATCCACAGCCTGGCAAATTGTTTTGATCAAGTTTCGGACATATCACCTGAAAGTATATATGGCATATATACTCTGACATTCCATCTATGTTCTTTCTGGCAGTATCTGGCATCTATTCTATTCTGGCATCCTACCTGGAATCTATTCTGACATTCTTTCTGACAGTCTTTCTCGCATTCTATCTGGCATCTGCCATATGTTCTGACATTCTGTCTGGCCGTCTATGGTGTTCGGATCCAGGCGTGGCCCACAGGACCGGAGCTGGCGATGTGGTGTTCGGGTCCAGGCGTGCCCAGCTGCATCCGGAGCTGACAGAGGAGATCAAGACAACAACGAGGCGGAGGAGGAGGAGGAGGAGAATAAGGAGAAGGAGTTGCACCTTTGTTGAAATCTAGAGACCCTTATGTGGCAGTGGGGAACAAAGTCAAATAAATCTCGGGCCCACTACAAGCCCCTCTCAATGGTTCTTGGCTGTTACTGGCAAATCACAAAAATAACTAACCATTGTTGGTTATCGTCCAACTGCTTGGCCATATCCACATTTCAGGATGGTTAAGCCCCGACCCTGTTAAACTTTCATTTTTGATGGTTAAACCACCATGTTTGATGATATTTCTATGGTGAGGTACTTGTATCATTTTGTATCCGGTCCATGTTTTCCTGGTTCAACTCCGATTTTTGGTTGGCCAAACCATATACTTGGTGGCTAAATCACTACATGCCAGGGCTCCCAATACGTTATATCTTGGTTTATATTGTTTTTGGCTGCGAGTGGCATCAAGCTGCCTTTTCGAATGAGTGTTCCAGTCAACAATTTATCTCAAGTACGGGGCCCCAAAAAGTAGCCGCTGACAAAATCAATTCGCGGTCAAAACCAGGTACGGTAGTCACATGTTGGTGAGCCTGAGGGCTCCAGCGCCAATCATAGAACGTCACTTTTCTGGACTGCTATAGCCCATGTGACCCAGCCGACCACGATTAACGACTCACTTTCCAATGGCCGAAACCCAATGCGCCGTAACTGTCTGGGATGTATTTCCAAGGACAAATGGCTGGCCAGGTGCCTGGAGAAGGCTTCCGAGGAAAAGGCTGTCTGAATGTGTCCTTGTGGCAGATCCTCCAGCTTCGCTGGCACGGCAGGGCATTTGAGGCTGAAAGCGAGGAGCAGAAGCAACGCCGTGTGTCGGCTGAAAACCGGCATTGGCCAAGATGGCTCCCGCAGAGCGTGCTCAGTGGTACACGAAGCAGAAGGAAGATAGAAGGATGCAGGAAAAATCCGCGACACCTTGCAAATCATGTTCTTTCCACGACTGGATGTTGTTATATATCACCTTAATCAACCCGAGTTATTGTAGTGATGTGTACCAACTTAGTCATTTTCGGGCCACTAGTCTGGCCAAGGAAGCTGGAGAAACCGTTCATGGCTCTCTTCAGCGCTATGGCGTGGTTCAGGACGTCGACATTGACGATGTTGTTCTTTTGCAGGGGAATGGTCAGAAAATGTTCACTGAAGATTCTTGTTGTATACTAATTACTTGGATAATCTTAGATACATAAATGTAAATTCCTCGCTATGTTTTTGTATGTTTTTGTTAAGTCTGTATGTGTAGCACTATAGTATATACATATTATATATATACATATACATGAGTCACGGTCAAAATGGTTGGAGACCACTTTAGTATTGCAGGATTTTTGTCAGAGATCTGCACGAAACACTGTAAAGCGATAGCCCCCCCCAAAAGCGATAACCGGGGACCATACACGACAGTCCATTCAACTTGGCGTAAACCAAGCAAATACTGTTATGCACATTCACAGAACGGGCAAAATCGATGAGAGAAATTCAACCTGTGGTGCACTGTTTCCTGCAGTTACCATATCATTTGGCATCGAACTCGCTCGCTCGCTGTCTTTCTTTCGTTTTTTATTTTTTTATTTCTTTGTTTCTTATATTTCTTTATTTGTTTCCTCTCTCTCCCTCGGTTTCCCTCTCTCTCTCTCTCTCACTCTGTTGTTTTTGTGGCCAACTTCCTTCGAACAATGTCATATGTTCGAGGGGTTGTTTAGCGATAACCTTAGTGATAACTTGGCCATAACAATTTGTTGCACTCGGTCTCCTGGCCAAGCCATAGAGCCATTTCCGTAACTTTAGAAAAGACATGAAAGGACATGAGTGCAAAATGAAAGAAAAATGCATGCAAATGAAAGAAAGGTGAAAGGACATGAATGCACATTGGAATGAACATGAAAGTACTGTAATATGAAAGGAAAATGAAGGGACATGAATACACATGAGACATGAAAGGAGAGCGAAAGGAAAATGACATGAAATTAATGCAAAATGAAAGGAATATGCATGCAAATGAATGCAAAAGGAAGGGGGCATGAAGTGTTGCTGAAGCACCTGAAACCAACAAAACAATTCCTCGATCTATATCCGAGCCTGTTTAGGACTGGATTTTGGCTTCATGTTGGATCTCGAATATGCTGATGTCCACAAAACCCTGGAAAGCGATAGGGCCCCCTCCAACAGCGATAACCATAACAATAGCAACTACGCACATGTACAGGATTTTGACGGGAGCTCACATATAGATATTATAGATATCATTTGTAGATTGTGCCTTTGCAACCACAGGTTGGGTTTGTTGATTCAGCTATTCAGATTGTGCTTTTCCATAGCAAACTGTTTGATTGCCGGAGGGTAAGTCCTTATTTCATGGCAGTTTAGCGCCCGGGCCGGTGTTTTTGCAGCAATCGACGGTGAAGATTCAGTGTGAAAACACGTGGTTGTTGGTGGTTGGTCTAAATCCATATCGGTTCATGGCGTTGAAGATGCCCAAGGATAGCGCCATGTGCATGCCTATTCCGGAATCGCTAAGTTGATGAGCATGTATCGTGTAGGTCAAGCTGTTGGGCTTGAGGAGATGAAATAAGTTTATTTCACTGGGGTTATCTGGGGTTATAATCCAAATTCATCCAAATTCCTTTTGGTGTCCAGCCCTTGTAGAAGTTCTAGAAGTGCGTTTCAAAGATGGGGAGAAGTTCGGGTTGGCAAGCGGGTACTGGTACGCAACCACTCTACCGTTCCATGAGGGTTGTATCCCTTCACTTGTGGCATTTACATAGCCGCGGAATCTTATGGATATGTCATTTTTTTTCTCGGCACCCAGTGGAGATGAATCATGTTTGAAACGTGTGACACCGGAACACCACTGTAGTTAGCCATCAAACATAAGTTACAGTTCTTGGTTCCAGGAAGCATATGGGAATACGAAAGGATCTGTGGGCAAATTGGGTCCACTGAACAACCAACAGGTAAGTTTTACTCGGCGGCATACCAAACAAGCCGCTAGTTTCTCTGTTTTGCCGAGAGGACAAGGTTGGAACCATCAATTTCTTTATTGAATGAATTTGCATTGACATGGTATGTGTCAAACATATCTTAACATGTGCATCCCATGCATTAGATCGGTAGTAGCAATACATACTCAATGGTGGAGATATCCCAGTTATACATTGGTATTATCCTCTTGTACGATTCTTGCAAGGTGGCGCACTCAAGTTGTGAAGTTAGCCAACTTATAAACAAGTTATTGAAATTATTTTTGGCGTTCTCATAACTTAAGTTAGGGGCTTTATAACTGTAGTTATGACTTATGTTTACAGTAATGTTTTTATGTGTTGCTTTTTTTACATTGAATCATAACAATGTTTGTTTTCGTTGTTTTCTTCGACTAATGGAAATATGGTTAGTTAAAGAAGCAATGGATGCTGTGGTCTGCTCGGTTCCAGCAGCGGCCATACTTGTTGCCCATTTGCAATAGAGATCACACGCGATGAATAATATGCACCAGTATCACCAGGCTTACCCGAGATCACATCATTTGCAATCGGTTGGGGCTACCGTTCTCGAACGATGAGGGGCCAAGTCCAGACCTGGCCTTTTGCCCCCCCGAAATGGATGGCTTTATCCTAGACACGACGTTGCGGGCACATTTGTGCGCTAAGAGGATGTGACGCCCGCGAAAGGCGTGTTTACAGGTTCCCCAACTAAACTTTTTGGGTCTTATAGGGATCTTGGGCTCTATGGTGGTTTGGCTCAAGACCCATGTTCGAAACTTTGCGCGGCGTTCGTTCTGGCCAGGTCTCTTTGTAGCGTGCAACCCTTCAGAGTCCATGCCTCTCTGTGGTGCAAGTTTGCTGCCTATTTTAGTAAAATGCCCCACTTCTTGGGTTTGGCTAAAACTGGGGTATCGGCTTATGTCATGGTAAGAGTGAACATGATGATCAACCACTAGATTTATAACATACCTCCTCTAAATTTTCAAACAAACGGGAATGAGTTGCCTACGCGCGCGCCGCAGGTTCTGTTACTCTTTATGAGGAGAGCCATGGTTTGGCCCAAGGATCCTTCCGATCCTCTTCGCCTTGCGAGACACAGTTTCTCGGCAACGTGTGGCAATTTTGGAGAGCAAGTTGCAGCAGGCAGCAAGAAACTGCCCGGCATGATGCTCAGGAAAGGAACGCCCCGATGAGGCGTGCAAAAACAATGACTTTCGAGTTTTGGTATTTCCTTCTATTATTTTTAATACTTATGCTTGCATCAGTGCGCATACGTACATACGTATCATACGTACGTACATGCATATAGATATAAAGTTAGATAGATATAGGTAAGTAGGTAGATAGATATATAGGCCTTTCGGTTGCTGTTTCCGTGGGACCGTCGTGGCCCGCCCGTCCTTCATACATCTCTCTCTCTCTCTCTCTCTTTCTCTTTCTCTATAGTGGGTTGAGCGATTATGGGGAGTGGATTGGAGCATCGTCCAGGCGCCGGCGTCTCATCAGGCCGATGGTGTCACAAGCCCGCCAACAGATAGCCTCACGACCCGGGGAGATAACCGAGAACATTGCCCAAACACCAGCACCCCAACGCATGGCAGGCCCCAGCGAACAGGATCACAAACCCAGTCCCCGAACACCAGACACCCGCAAAAACCATGGCTTGGTAATTTTGAGATTTACACATATTTGGGGACAATTAATTAATAGGAGTAATTGGTAGGGGGACAGATTGAAAGATGACCGCTGATTTGTTCCCAAGAGTTGATGGTTGCAGGCGGTTGATGAATGTGTTCTGACAGGTTTTGTTTTTGGGCCCCCCACGATAGGTAAAGGTAAATCGGTTAGCAAAAGTCCAACTAATAAAAGATTGTTTGATTTCCGATGGATATCGGATAAATATATATATATATATTTATATATATACAATTATATACATGTAACATGTTTATTATTATTGCTGTTTTCCAACAAACCAACCTTTAGTTGGTGGGTCCATATTGTACCCGTTTGTTTCCCAGGCATGCAGAAGCAACTCGGGACATGACTTTTTGAAATCAACACCATTAAAAACAAAACGCAGTCCCAACCGGTCGTAACCTATCTTCTCAACATTCCACTTTACACCTGGTTGAACCAGGAACTAGTTGTTAAATGTGTTTCCTGTTTTCCGGATATTTCATTGAAGTACTGCAGGTTGTCTTCTTTTTCTTCGCCTGTATTTGCGTTTGTGCCGCCACCCACGCGTAACTTGGATTTGCCGAGCGTCTTTCCAATTGGCATATAACCCACCAGAGTCATGGCCATTTATTGGCTAGGCTAAAACTGGTTATAAATGGGATTATACATATCATAAATGGTCTTGTACTTATGATTATGCTAAAGGGCCATAACTGCATCTACTCAGAATATATTCGAAACACTTGTTTTCTTGAGGTTTGTTTTTTCATTGCAGCAATTCCGCTTGTGGGTGAGTTTGTTGGCCCTATCCACAAAATATTGGGAATATCTCAAGCAAAACATGTCACTTTGGGAATCGATCAAAATATGCACGAAGGACAAATTTGGTACAAGGTAAGCTAAGATTGGAAAAGATAGGACAAGACAAAATGAACATCATAGTAGATCCATCAATCGATAGATAGGCAGATAGGCAGATAAATCGATAGATCGATAGGTCGATACATCGATAAATAGATAGATCGATAGATAGATAGACAGATAGATAGATATACTGGCAAATAGATAGATCGAAATATAGATAGATAATAAGATAGAAAGATAGATCGATAGTCTACCTCAGAAGGGACATCTTGAGCTTTTACATCCAAGGCACTACAACCTGGAGCTCACCACAAAGCATGACCACTACCCCTTTTATGCATCGGTCTTACAGGTGGTGCGTCTCGGTGCCTCGTCTCATGCCCAAAATTTCAATGGGAGATCTCCAGGATCCTAAATTGGAGGTACGTTCGTACCATAGAAGGCCATATTTTGTGGGGATATTCCCTTACTTTTTGGCCTGAAAAATAGGCCTTATATAGGCCTTATATATGGTAGGTACCTCCAATTTAGGTTGAAAATTTGGCCCTGGGGATCTGTGGCTTTCTTCGATGCAATATTATCCCGTATCATCCCATTAAACAGCTATCAATCCCAAATGCAATCCCCATTTTCGTGGTTCAAGCACCATTTTCCGATGGTTTTCCTACAGGATGGTGCCCCCCAGTGATGTGAATGTTGGTTTATAAACCCTATAATTAGTATATCGACCATAAACCATAGAAATCCACCACAGCCATAAGGCAACTGAGCGCTATCTTTTTGGGCCCATCCTGTAGGACAACCGTGTTTTTTTTATATATGTGTGGAATCTTCTCCATAATGGTTTATCATGGCTCAATAAGAACTAATAACGGTTAATGGAACTGTTTCGCGTAAACACTTGAGATTTCAGCACTTGAGATTTTAATATATGTTGATTATACCTATGTGATTTGAATATGAAGGATTCGGGTCATGGGGATACTGTACAAGAGAGATTTAAGGGAGTATCATGCTCAAATAGAATGGGTCTTTAAAAACGAACAATATGATCTGGATATTTCTGCACATGAGGTATACCTCCGGCATGGCATTGTTGTTGAAATCCATTGAAAATTGGGGTGCCCTGTTTTTGGGCATAGCCATTTTGCAAATCAGTTTGCAGTAATTTGATCGGTGCTTATATGTCTTGTTTATTGATAGTTGTAGTTTTTGCTTGTACGAAACAAACTGACTGTTGCCAACTGCTGAATGATTTGGGGCATCAAGCAAAACACACACAAAAAAAAAACAAGTCAACAGACCAATGACCAAACCCGTTTTAATGATAGGCAGCTGTGAAGGTTTTGTTATTGAGTATACAAACAACAAACAACCATATTGTTTGCATTTGCCAACGCAAATGTTCTGGGTGATACTTGGTGATCTGTTTGGATCAAACTTTAAAATAGCCAAGGTCGAGGAAAAAACAACCCTACCAACTACTAACATTCTTATCTTAAATAGGTTCCTGAATCTTCAATCAAGCATCTCACCATTCACCAAAAACAGGCCTAAAGTTTTTTTTCACCTGTATGTCTGCCCATGATTTCGCACCGGTCTCAAGGCATTTTCGGGGACTTCGATCTCTTCGAGTTTGAAGGCGCCGACGAAAACATCAAGCTCAAAGATGGCACCACAGACGAAACTCGTTCCGTCGTCTGTCGCGGCGTCACGCCGTGGCATGGGGTAACTGCGGGTGGTCATGAGGGCGTCGCACTTTCTGGTTAATTTGTTTTTTAGATTGGTTATTGTCGCGCTTTATGATTACATATATTTTTACATTTATATTTTGATTGCACTCGGTCTGTGACGCTGAAAGGTCGCCTGTATGCTGCCTCATCCAGAAAAGCCACTATGGCTGGATAATAAGTGAAATGGTGAAAAGCAAAATGCCATAAAATTGCCAAATCTGCTCAAACAACCCTCGCTTCGCCCCTTTAGGCGGCTACTAGTCGGAGCCCTTTGGCAAATGGAAAAATGTTCGTCCCCAGTAATCGCTTCCCATGGTGGTCCCTTGCGCATCCTCGAGATATAAGGGTCAAACCCTTTCGCCAATGCTTCGACCACCACATCCAAGCCAGCAGGGTCCTCCTCGAACCCCTCACACTTGAGTGCAGCCGCATGCTGCAAGTGTGACATGGCCAGTGCTTGACACAATCTTGGGGGATAGGCCTTGGCTCTGGAGGTCTTCCAAGTCTTTCCATCACTGTTGCGTCCACCCAATCGTTCTGTTGGCCTCCAGTGCGGCTGATACAACGCAAATAGTTGTTGCGGGAGATCTGGCAATCTTCCTGCAATGATGGATGTTGGCTTGGCAAAGGGCTGGCCCAATGGCCCTTGAAGGAAGTCAACTCTCCAAACATCACCAGCCAACAGTAGAAGTTTGAGAAAAGCTGATTCCCATATAGACCAGCGACCCTCTTGTCCATCACGCCCCTTAGGGTGTTCTAAGGCTAAGGAGAAACTGATACCTTGGAGGTAAATGAGCAAAAGGAGATAGATACCCTGCAGCATGAGCTTTGTGCCAGTCACCACCTGTTGAACTTCCTTGAGGCTTAAATTGTCGCGTCCCCAAGGTGCTTCAGTGTTTCGAAGAGGCTGAGGACCCTGCCCATCTTCCAGAAGCAACCACCTGGCAAAGCTAAAGGTCTCGCATGGCGGACCAGCATGTCCGCCAGTGACCTTACGAGCCCAAATGAGCCGCTTCCGGATGTCATCCTTTAGGATGTTTCCATGTTGCTTATGGATGGCAAGATCGATCGAGATCGGGATGATCTCACTTTTCCATGATCTCCACTGCGCAAGATCTGCAAAGCGCCGATGGCCGCTGTACATGATGATGAAGTACTTCGTCCCCAAGGCTAAAGGCCGAGGGATCCAATCATGGCCAGGTTCCCACTCATTGATCTCCCTCAGAAGCTTCTGCTCGAAGTCAAAAGTGTCCTTGCCCACGTGGTGCAACTTCATCTCCCCGCAGTCCCTGACAGTGACCGCACGTCCTCCTTTTCCAGGTGGCAAAAGGCCAATCTGCTTCCACTCCTCCAATTCCTGCAAAGAAGGTGTTGACAGATCTGGCTCCTGCTCTTGCCGCAATTCCAGCACATGCTTCAGCTCTTCCTGTCTGCATGCCCTCCAAATCTTGTCCTCCTCTGGACCCAAAAACCCTTTCTGATGCATCACCACGCCTTTCTTTTTGTCATGCAGGTCCAACTCTTGTGCTTGCTCACTGGTCATCGGGAGGTATCTCCTACAATGCCAGATCCAACAATCAGTTGTTCCCATATGCAAATGGCGCAGCAATCTCGTGTTGTGTGAAAGAAACGTTGGCAGGCTCGACATGCCGAATCGGCTGCATAATGTCTCATTGCAATCCTCTTGCCATGTTTCCGCTGTTGATGCACCGCCAACGATGCTTCACTTGGAAATACTTCGGTACATTCATCACAAAAACTCATGTCATGTTCATGAGGGTTGCGATCATCGCCACCCCCTCTTTTCGTCCATCCCATGCTCTGCAGCATCTCACTCTCTCGCTTCTCATGTTTGTAAAGCTCACAAAGGTTCTGAACTTTGAGCATGTGTGCTTCTCTCACTTTCCTCAAAGCCTTGGAAAGTTTTTTGGCAAAAGGGGCAAAAAGGGACCACGTCTCAAGATCATGAAGGTCATCCAATTCCTCCGGCACTTCAAAGTCACCGATCTGACTTCTCATCCACCGCACACTGAGTATGGCTCCATGCAACCATGACTCACGACCGGCAATGAGGTGATTCTGTAAGACACCTCCAAAATTTGAAAAAGAAGCCCCAACCGTTGGATGTACATCAACTCAACTCGCATAGGCGCTGCCGCATCTCTAGCCAACTCATAGAAACACAAGTGGGGAATATAGTGCCATCCTCCATGCGTATCTGCAAGCTCTGATAGGCTCTAAAGACACCAGCTTTCCAAGCCTCCATTTCAGATCGGGTGAGATTGTACCATGTCCCTGCATGGAGCGTCAAAACCGACAAACCCATGCTATCTATGCACCAAATATTGCCTTTTTTTCCAAATCCAAATCTCTGTTTTTCAAAATCTTCCTCAATGGGTGGAGTTTTGCCATTGCACACGCTGACCTGATGCGAATCTCTTGCAATTTGGAACCTGATCTGGTAAGAAATCCACCCAAGTGCTTGTAGCGTGATACCACAGGTATTTTCACCACGCCTTGATGCTCTGTGATTGCACGGACAAAACCTTCCTGAGTGTTTTCAAAATCTTGCCTGGCTTTCGTTGCCCGTTTCCCATGAAAATGGATCATGACCGCTGTTTTACCTGCACCATAAGTGAGTTCCATGCCATGCTCAATCATGGTGTCTTGTATGATGGATATCAGATGAGTCACTTTTGCAATGATTCCCTCTGCCATCTCACATATTGAAAAAGCCACATCATCAACCCATGTAACGCAGTCTGAAGTGGCCCATCCTTCTGATGATGAGTGCTCACCACCCAAAGCAATGCCATCCCTCAAAGCTCGTTCATGTATTTGACGCAAAATTCTGGTCATCATCAGGCTGAAGAGCATATCCGCGCTGGGATCTCCAGGCCTTGAGCCTGTCATTGGCGCTTGCAAATGCCTTCCATCCGGGATACAGAACCAAGTCTGTCCCAAAGTTGCCTGAGTGCCAGCTGCCAAAATGTCGGAGTCGGTGGCTTGTGAAACAAGTCTGGCCTCTTGTGTGTTTTCCAGAAATGCTTCCCAGACCGTCTCCGGCAGGCCAATTTTGTCAAAGACTTTGCGCAAGTTTTCATGTGAAAGCTCTTCATTTTGGAACATCTGTTTGACTACCGAGTAGAAGGCAGCCTTGATGTCAACGAAAATGAGAGCATGTGAAAGCTTTCTTTTTCTCGCATTGGATTGCCACGTTTGCACCTGAAGGTGTAAAGCTTCCACTGAAAGGCCTGGTCGTCCTCCCCATTGTAGGGGCATCGCCACATGATTCAGCCCCGCCACCAATTTTGGTCTCCACGCCTTTGAGAGTGCTCTTGCAACCACAGGCTCCAAAAGTATGCCACGGTAGCCTTTCATGTCATGAGCGCTGCCTTTCCCTTTGAAGAGTGGTAACAGCCAACCTCCAGACAGTTCAACCACACTTTGTCTACGCACTGCCGCCTTGAGCAATAAAGGATAAACCCGCTTTGCCACTGCAGCGCAATCACCTCTGAGAAGTTCAGCCCCTATAGGCCGTCCAACCCCGCAGCCTTGGAGTCCTTCAAAGCAAGAATCGCTTGTTCAACATCCAGCAGTGTTGGAATTTCATGCAGGTGCCACGTCTCAAGCTTTTGACCACAGGATTGTGATTCTTTCAACATGTCTTGTATCGACCTGGACTCTGCATTTTCAATTTTTGCAAACTGACTCTGCCAGGCTGTGACCAACTGGTCTCTAGAGAAGTTCCATTGACCATCACTGGATCTAAGTCCCGGCAAAGGTTTGGCCAGTTTTCCACTGTGTTTTGCACTCATCTTCTTCGGCTGGAGAAGGTGGAAGAGGTCAGAGGCACTGGCCTTATTGGCATGGTCAATTTGCTCTTTCAGCCTTTCCTCAATCCACTGTTTCCAGTCTCTTTTCTTTCTCTGCCGAAACAGGACATCAACATTGATTCTAGCTTCGATGATCATAGCTTCCTGTTGTTTCAATAAAGCAATGTCATAGTCTCGTAGTTTCTGTTCCTCTTCTGTGGTGCTTCCGGACTTCCATGCATGAAAACATTGGCTCATAATGCCCATCTTGATTTGCCTTTGCAGCTCACGCAAGTGTTGACGCAAATCTTTTCTTTGACAGACTAATACCACGTCGTTTCCGAAAAGTAAAGCTGCCGTTGCTTTCTTTTCTCCACTGGAAACCATGTGGCTGCTTTCTGCTGCATGAACTGTCGCAGATTGCACCAATGAGCGTTCACATCCAAAGGCCAATCCTGTGCTGGCAGGTGACTCAGGAAATTGCAGGGTTGCTTTGTCAATGTATCTTTGGCAAGCTTGCGACTGTAAAATTGTCGACGCACCATTCTCTGACCTCTGTCCTGGCCTCTCTGAATGCCAATCACCAACACCAGAGGGCGGTGATCACGATCACCATTCATGATGTCCATCTCCTCATCCACACATGATTTCACCACTCCATCTTGGCAAGACTGCGAAATGGCAATGAAATCGATGCGGCTACTTGCTCCATTTGGACCCATGTATGTGTCTGAAACCCCATGATGCCAATGTGAAAATGTAGATGGGACAATCAAATCGTGTGTCTCACAGAAACACCGAAATCTGGCCCCCCCTTCATCCTCCACATCACAAGCATGATCCCCAATGGTTGGGCCAGGGGTACTCCCTAATCTGCAGTTGAAATTGCCCAAGCAAAATAAGGGGACATTGCAATCTCGTTTTTGCAAGATCTGTTCTACCTCGTCCCACCAAAGTTGCACTTCCTCTTGCGATCGACCTTTCTGTGGAGCATACATCACTGCAATGTCAAACGCAATGTTGCCAAAGTTGCAACGCGCCACAAGCAATCTGCAGTTTTGGAACCAAACACAAACATCTTTTCCACTGCTGAAATCAGTGTTGAAAAGTTTGCATTCTCTTTTCCTGGTAACCAGGGGTTTGCTAGCTAACCAGGGTCTTGGCGCTGTATGCACATGTGCAATAAAGCTTAGCCGCGTGATTTGACGTTTCTTTGATATAAAGTCCGTTGGGAAACTGTATAGTATAAATTGATTTCTTCGTCCAAGGTTGGAAGCAACAAAGAAAACAAAAGAGTGCATCATTCCATCTTTAGAATCTAGTACCCTTTTTCAGCAACACAACATACCTTGATTAATTATCCTTTATTAACATAACCGCCACTTTGCTTTTGTGCAGAGTAAAGCAAATTCAAAAGGAACTGGTTCCCTGCCGACTATAGCACCCTCAACCCAATGCATTTTGTTTGGGCGGCATCTTCAACCACCGGTTTGGTGGCAAAATGCACACTATAGACTCTATATACTATAGACTATATGTATCATGTTCTTACATTGGTCTTGAGACACCCGGTACATCCTCACTCACTGATTTTGTGACAAGTAACGTCGTTATATCTGGGTTTTGTGACGGATTACGTCCTCAGGGCCCGATTTTGTGACGAAACAGGTCGTCCGAGATTGATTTTTGTGACGAATTGCGTGGTCAGATCGCGGTTTTGTGTGGGGTTCATTCTCGTATTTTGCGGCGCTTGCGTCCTCAATTTTATCACAAATCGGGGTTTTAGCAGTCAACACGCCACGGTCAACGTTGACGTGTTTGGTTTTGTGAAGGACAATTTCTTCACAAAACTGGCACTTCCAAAAGCAACCTATTTTGTGACTCAGGAGGACCTCATTAGTCACAAAAACATATCGTCAAGCGTGTTTTGAGCACAAAACCGGACAAGACATGGTTGTGTATGTAGAAATGCTTTCAAACAGCAGCATTTTGTGACTAAAGAGCGCTGAATTCGTCACAAAATACGCATCAGGTTCATCGCTGCATTTTGTGAAGAATGATGGTATCACAAAACCAGACTGATCCACTTCGACCATGATGTCTTGGAAAAAAAGTTCTGTGACTAATGAGGACGGAATTCGTCACAAAATCGGTACATGACGACACAATTCGTCACAAAATCTCGATCTGACGACGTCATTCGTCACAAAACCGACATGCGACGAGGCAATTCGTCACAAATCGGGATCTGGCGACGCAATTCGTCACAAAATCAATATCTCGGACGACCTGTTTCATCACAAAATCGGGCCCTGAGGACGTAATTCGTGACAAAACCCAAATATAACGGCGTTACTTGTCACAAAATCAGTGTGTGAGGATGTACCGGGTGTCTCAAAACCAATGCAAGAACATGATACATATAGTCTATAGTATATAGAGTCTATAGTGTGCATTTTGCCACCAAACCGGTGGTTGAAGATGCCGCCCAAACAAAATGCATTGGGTTGAGGGTGCTATAGTCGGCAGGGAACCAGTTCCTTTTGAATTTGCTTTACTCTGCACAAAAGCAAAGTGGCGGTTATGTTAATAAAGGCACGTTCTTCTTAAAGCTGAACTTGTTTTTTTGATTCTATATATATATATATATGAATATCAATTGAAGATTTTGTAATCGTTGTTTGGCCTTCTGTACCCTGTTCAAATAACTCGTTTGCCGTTTTTATACCATCACATGTGTGCCAATGCCAAAACCCTGGTTACTTAGCAAACCCCTGGTTACTTAGCAAACCCCTGAACCACAGGAACAGAGAATTTGCTCAATTGTTGTCCATTAATTAACATTAATCCATAGCTCGACACCAGCTTGCCCATTTTGTCCTGCTGCAATGAGTCGTGTGAATGGTCCAGTCTCAATACATTGTGTGCGAGCTGCTCGGCTCTCCTGCACTCCAATGATATGGATACCTCGTTCTTCACATTGCTTGAGGATCTCAATCGCTTTCCAGCTAACCCCCAAACCCTGACGATTGTCATACAACAAAGTTCCAACCTTGACAGTTGCAACACGTATCTGACTACTCTCCCCAGAATGTGAGTCAGCACCCACATCAGGTGTCAATGTTGTATCAATAAACCCTTTTTCATCCCACGGAGTGGCATTGTCCAAAATAGTGCTGATGTTAGGCAGTTCCACTGATGGCCACATCTCCAACCACGCCCATTCCGCTAGAGGATGACAAAGTAGCGGACCAGACCGAAAACAGAAATGTGTGTCGGGTTGCCATCCATTCCAAACTGCTTTGGCTATCCCATCCACGAACTCATTCCAAGGATTGCCCTGATGTGCACAAACATGGACACCTTTGCTTTCACCTCCGTTTTGTTCAATTTGTCTCTCCAAAATTGTCATGAGAATTCTGGCATCACGCTGTCTTCTTGATGTAGAGCCTTCTACCTTTGGAATGTGTTGACAACCAAAAGCTGCCCTCCCAACCACGTTGGCATCAAAATGACAGAAGAGACTTATTTGTGATTGAATGCAAAGCGTAAGAGCATACTCAATCATAGCAATGATCGCTGTGGCTTCTGCGTCCAGTGCTGTTTGATCACAAGGCCCAATGTCATCCACAACAAACCCAGCAGCGTATCCCACACGATGGAAGAACACTCGACGACAGCATTCCGTCTCTTGCACTACAACAAGCGCCCAAGTGGCTTTGTCATTTTCGCATGAACCATCGGTAAAATGTGGTACCTTGTGCCAAACCTTGGTCCGGCATGGACCCACTGCCACGCAATTTGTGCGTAGGGATGCAGATGAGAAAGAATGGCACAATCGTGATTGATCCTTTCTTGTCCTCGGTGCATGATATGATCGATTGTGCCTCTCAAATCCGCCAGCATTTCACCACGACTCTCCGAGGCCCCATTTGTAGGTGTATGTTGGGTCCTTTGGATGTCCTGCTTGACTGTGACATCAGGTGGAGAGGGATCCGGCAAAAGGGGGAGATCCTCCTTGATGCCTATTCCAGCTGGCTTGTGCAAGTCTTTCACCTGATCACCGTGCTCGGAGATCTCTCCTCCCTGCATCAAGCTGAACCGATCAATCTGCTGAGAAGGAATCTGCCCCTAACTATGCTCACTGTCAATATCACGCCTCAAAATGGCCCGGCATGTTTCCCAAAAAGGGCCCTTCACATCCACATAGTCCCTACAACTGCTATGGGTGAGTCCATCAGACTCCTTTGCAACTTTGTTTTTATCCTTGGAAATGTTGAGCTGCAAAAAGGAGGTGTACTCGATCTCAGGGATTTCTTCCATACGAGCCGCACCCAAAAGGAGAGTCAGCAAATGATGTCTCTGCCAGACTAAAAACCTTGCAGTAAGGACATCTCCTGGTCTCCAAACATGTCGCACATCTCTGATTCAAATCCCATTCACTGACAAATGTGGGTAAACGCACTCTGCTCTGGCATGTTCAAACCAAAAAGGGGGCCGCTCAAGGTACTCACAATACCCGATCCTGCCCACCGTTCAGGAACTGTGATTGCCCATATCTCATTTGTCCCCTGTGGGTCTCTCTGCATGTCATCCACTGCCACAATCTGCTGATTGACTAAAATGGGTTGTCCAGGGTTGTAGCCACACCTAGCAATGAAGTGAAAAATGACATTCTCAGCATCTTGCATATTGTTGGTGAGGCCTTGCGCAAAATGCAATCCAATCGTTTCAGAATCGAAAGGCCAAAGTGTCTTCATTATCTGGATCCATTCCAAATCATACAACCAATCAATTGCAATAATGATGTCCCTGTGCCCCATAGGTCGATTTTGTGGTGTAATCCCATGGACCCGACAAATGATGTGGTCCACATGGTCACGCATGTCAATGAGTGATTGCACTTGCAGAAAAAAGGGCTCAGCATCCGTGATACTCTGTTCAGCATGTAAGACTTGCTCAAAAACTGCTCCTATCCACGTTCTGCACAAAGTACCATGATCAAAATCATAAAACGCATCCTTCTCCATGGTGAGAGTGCCAAGTCTGACATGGCATGGACGCAGTGCAAACGGAAGGCAATGCTGATGCAAGTTCAAATGTGCCAAAACCTCTCTTTGAGACGTCTCACAAGTGAGCCTGGCTGCATATGGTTGTGGCCTCTTGGGCACATCCTCAGCAGCTTGTTCAATAATGAGGGCATTCCGTGTGGTAGGATCCAAAGCTTCTGGCATCTCAACCACTACCAGAAGTGCCACAGCACGTTGCCCAACCACATCGATGGGTTGCGGGTGAACATTGAATACCACCAAATTGCCATAGCGTGCATGGTCCTCCCAGACCCTCAGAATTTCGTTCAATAAACCAGGTAGGTTGTAGGGACTGAACTCCACATCACGTCGTCCCAAATCAACCAATCCCAGCCCAAAAGTTGCTGCTATCCATAATGCGTCATCTGCATCAGACCCATCAAGCAGCTGTTCAATCTCGTCCTGCAAATGGCCCTGATGTTGCGGAGCATATGCAATATCTGGTACTTCCGGTTCAACATAGATCTCTTCTTCACCAAGTTCATAGTCCTCTGCCATCCATGAAGGAGGGTTTGGCGGATCATGGAAAAAATGAACTGGTGATGTTGACATCCATGACACTGTTTCATCATCACTGTCGCTTTCATCAGGAAGAGTGTCATCATGCCCTCTCTGTAGATCATTTTCAACAATTTCTCGGATGCCCCCTTCTAGATACGTTCCATGTGGCCAAACCATGTGATCGTCATTTGTATGAAATGGAGCATCCTGTGATCCACTCTGTTGAACAAAACAACCAAAAACACGTTGAGCACAAGCTTCTTCAAATTGTGCCACTTGAAAAAGGTTTGTCACAGTCGAGCCCTGTTGAAAGAGGACAGCACGGTTTCTCATGAGTGTAGGCAGACTATCACTGTGCAAAAGAATTGCACTGTGACCTGTCGTCTCACCTTGGAGCAAAATGACATTTGCCAATATACTCGGTAAGCGACTCGGACCTCCATTGGTGAAAATTGGTTCAATGCCACTACCATCATCCAAGTCAGCCCAAGTTTTCCTGCATGCACACAGGAATTCCTTGTACTTTGGACCTGCCTAGGACTTAGGGACTTATAAGTTATCATGTAAGTGTAGTTATAAGTGGATAAGTTATGTTTAAGTTAAGTGAGTTGGACTTAGCTGGCACTTAGCTGGCACTTAGCTTCGAATTTCGAACCTATGTTTTTTGATGTTCGTTGGTTGGTAGGACGGAAACTGCTACGTTTTGCAGGGATTTTGGTTTGAAGGCATGTCCGTAGAAAAGCAGCTAGATGCAGCTCAGAAGTTCCTACGAGGAATTCGGTCTTTGAGCTCCTACGAGGAGATCAGAGAAAAGCAGGCATTGGGAGTGCAAAAAGCTTTGGAGAAAGTGCCGGCGTACATGGCTGCCCAAGCGGCTGCTGTGTTGGCATTTCTCTCGGAAGCCGGAGCGCAGTCGAGAGTTTCAGTGGTGCCGACGCAGTGCCTGGCTTCTATGGGAAGCCAGGCGCAGTCTACGGATGGCGTAGAAGAAGCTGAATAATAGCATCGCAAATCTTGCGAAGCTGTGAAAATTCGTTGTCTGCGGATGTCTGCGGATGTCTGCGGACTTTGGAACCTCTCTTGGAAATGACGTGCCGCTGTGTCTGCGGATGTCCGCGACGAAGGAAAACGGCTACTTTGCATGCTGTCACATGTCTGCGGATGTGTGCGGAAGGAAAAACTAAAGAATTTCCACTTTTGACAGATGTCCGCGGCCTTGGAGACCAAAACCACCCCGAAGCAAGGAGTAAGAGCGGGAGAGTTGTAATTGTAAGCATTTCTGAATAGTGGGATACCCTTACGAGTCGGCAAATATTGCAACCTTTCCTGACGGAGAAATTCATTCTAAAATGGAAACGCCTACGGGGCCCCAAACAAATCCTGCCTGCATCAAAACTGATGCACATAGAACCAATGCGTTTGCTACGTGAAGATCAAGATGGTCTTTGGCTTTTGCGCTGACCATGCAACATCATCATGAAGAAAAAAAGGCTGCCTCCTCACCTGACTAACCCCCCAAAAAAACCTCCAAATCTACAAAAAACAGGAAACCACCTAAACTTGGAAAAAAACAATGCAAATCACTTAGCTCACTTAGCGGCCACTTAGCAAGCCTTCAAACCTAAGTAACCTAAGTGCCAGCTAAGTGCCAGCTAAGTTCCTAAGTTCCCCGGCGGCTCCAAAGTAGGTAATCTGTTGTTGAATCTACACTTTTCTGGGCCGAATGCGGAGATGATAACGGTCAAATGCCAAGAACCACGTGTCAATGAACCAAGGTGTCCTGCGCCTAGTATCCAAACTGGCAATCGCCCGATTCAAATGCATTTCACTGGTGGAAACCTCCGCAAGTTGTTCATCAGCAGAGGCACTTTCAAAGACACCTTCTGATTCTGTCTGAAGTGCCACATTAACACCTGCATAAAATGAAACGACTCGCACACATTCATCCCACGCAGCAATCTGCCCGTGCAAATGCCACAAGCTTCGAAAACAAACATCAACTTGATCACTGCACACAGACCCATCCCACCGTCGATCTCCATTGAAAAGATGAATGTCCACTGATGGAGAGAAGGATATTTGTTTTCGAGCCTTCTTCACTTTGCTCTGATGGCTGTTTCCTTCGAGCCAAGAGGGACCCATGTTAACCCCTCTCCCGCTCGTAAATGAAGAACTTTGTGCATCCATCGTGAAATTGAGCCAGAAGAGATCCAAGTTATCCTCTTCCCCGCTCACCACTGATTGAGTTTTCAAATTGTATAAATGATTGGAAACTGAAAATTCAGAATGTCGCAATGGTGTGCCGCCCATTTCACCATCATCCAGATTATAAATCCAGTTTCGATTTGTCACAACCTGCATAGACTGGGAGGCTCCATCTCCAAAACGAAGAGGCTCAAACTCCCTTGTCATTGACGAAGAAATTTCTTCATTGCAAGCGTTGTTCAAATCCATGATCATTCCATCTTGTAGCACGGAATCTATACAGTTGATTGTCTCACTGCCTTTACTGTGCTTCATCCATGTATAAGCATCGTCCCACAAATGCCTAACAATCTGTTGGAAGTTCTGTGCAAAACTTCGTGCAGTGTGCATCACGTCATCAAAACTGTAAAACGATTCCTCAAACCTACTTTCATGATCGCCACCTTGAGATTGTAGGGTCCACGACCAACCCTGACTCCCTGTTCCCTGAGAGGTATTGAGCTGATCATCTGGTCCATGACCCAGTTCAAATTGCAAAGCCAAACTGAGATCTTCGTCACAATTGGACTTCGATTCAAAGAAAGTATCACCATCTCTCCTTTCTATTCCACAAGGGATCCATGTGTAGTCATTGCCCCACAAATAATCAACATCTTTGGTCCCCCATGACAAAGAAATGGGTCTGTCTTTTTCCGCACTGAAAAGGAACCTGTCGCAATCTGCAACACCACTGTCCACTTGGGCTGCATGATCTACTTGTCTTCCTTTTCCTTCTCTCGACCATCCTTGTTTTTTGGCTTGAGGTGTTGCGTTGCCACCTTGGTTGGTGACTGCGACGCTCGAAAGCTCTTTGGCCCTTTGGAGAACCTTTGACTCTGGGTTGAGTTGGAAGGTCATTTTCTGAAATCTCGTCCTCCTCCATGTCCCCGGTCAAATCCACATGTCCTGTGAAGGTCTCCACATCGATAACTTGATCTAATTCCGCCAGTTGTTCTGCAATCATCGGCGCCTCTTGAATCGTTGGCGCTGCCCATTGGTTTTCCAACAGTGATTGCGGAGCCAGACTGACTTCCTGTTTGATCTGCCTCAGCTCTTGGATCTTGGCATTGTAGTTTTCCAAGAGATCGCCACGACATTGTTGAAACATCATTGCATGCTGCCGGACTTTCTGCACAGTTTTCTCCATGAAAGCTTTCCACTCCGCATCGAGATCCTGTATTTTCTTCCCAGCTGCAGTGACCTGTGACTTGAGCTTGTTGAGGCGGTTGAGATGTCCATGAGTCAGGGACTTGGTGGCTTGATTCGCCTGCTGCTTCGCTGTCAACTGCTCTAGTTGACTTTGCATCTGCCGCGTCAGCTCCATGCCCATCTCTTGTAATCCCTTCAAATGCTCCAGCTTTCATTTCTCTCCTCCTCGGACGTCAAGGCAGCTTCCAATGGTGTTGGGACTTTCTCTGGAAAAAGTGACCAATCGACCTGCTCCTCTTGCTGTCCCTTGTTGTTCGCCCCTTTGTAGGAGGTTGCCCCACGAGCACTTTTGCTCCGTGAACGACGTTTTGCTGGTTTTGTCCATACTTCGGACCAGTGCTTTGCACAACTTCTGCACCGGTCTACTTTCTCCGGATTGTTTTCCTGGCAGTTTCTGCAGTACCACGTCATGTGCCTGGTTGCAAGTTGGATTTTGGAAGGGTAAGTCCTGAAATCGAAAAGAATGATGGCTGCTGAGAAATGCAACAGCTGTTCTGTTCTTCTTCAACTTCCTCTTTCCAATGACTCCTGTTGACCTTTGCTTGACCCAGTCCCTCGCTCTTTTGCATCTCTTTCGCAAATTGCGATGCCAAGCCGGTTCTCCCCGAAGTCCCAATTGAACCACCGCCACGGTGAATGCTGCAACTCAAAACCAGAAATGCGAGCCACACGCCGACCATAAACAAGCCGCGAGTGACCCTAAGGTTTCTGCTAGGGAGTGGCTGTAGTCGCAAGGCCAACCCCCTTAAACCAAAACCCTTACATTTATATATATATATATATATATACGGTAACGACATTGAAATATATGGAGGGCGGGCCAGACCCCGAGGCCCTGGAGGTAGTATGAAATATCTGTTCGTATATTTAAATGTAATGTTACCGTATGATTAAAAGACTTGGACTCCGTATGTTTAAATGGCCGGGCAGGCCAAAGACAACCTTCCCGGAGGTAGTCTAAAATACTTGTTCATATATTTTTAAGTCTGTATATATATATAAACATATGTATTTATTAAGTTTTTCCGTTATTATACATATTATAGGTAGGTACATTGTATACAAATCCCCAAATTGTTCTTTCATACCCTTGGTGATCAGCCCACTTGACGATTTTGCGCATGGTTTGAAATCATGTTTTTTCCCCACAGCTGTCAGGTGACGGTTGTTAGATTTTATGTCAGCTGTCCCGCCTCCTCCTCCTCCTCCTTCTTCTCCTTCTTCTTCCTCTTCTTCTTCTTTTTCTTCTTCTTCTTCTCCTTCCCGTCCGACTGCAAGCGCTAGATCGCAGTGTTCTCCGCCGGAGCCGAACAGCAAGCTCAGGATCAGAGTGTTGCAGCCGGACATCAACTGCAAGCGCTAGATCGCAGTGTTCCCCGCCGGAGGCAACAACAAACTCAGGGGCAGGCTGAGTGATCCCTGCTGGACCTCAACTGCAAGCGCTAGATCGCAGTGTTCCCCACCGGACCAAAACAGCAAGCACAGGATAGGATCAGAGTGTTCCCCCCCGGACCTCAACTGCAAGCGCTAGATCGCAGTGTTTCCCCGCCGGACCCGAACAGCAAGCACAGGATCAGAGTGTTCCCCACCGGACATCTGCTGCAAGTGCTAGATCGCAGTGTTCCCCGCCGGACCCCAACAGCAAGCTCAGGATCAGAGTGTTCCCAGCCGGGCCTCAACTGCAAGCGCTAGATCACAGTGTTCCCCGCCCGGCCCCAACAGCAACATCAAAGTGTTCCCTGCCGGACCTCCACAGCAAGCTCCGGATCAGAGGGTCCCCGCCGGACCTCAACCGCAATCTCCAGATCAGAGTGTCCCCCGCCGGACGCCGAAGATATACCAGATAGAATGCCAGAAAGAATGTCAGCATGAAATGCCAGAATGAATGTCAGATAGACTGGCAGAATGGAAAGTCAAAATAGACGCCAGATAGCCAAGAAAGAATGTCAGAATAGATGCCAGATAGAATATCAGAAAAACATGCCAGGAGAAAATATCAGAATAGATGCCAGAGAGGATGCCAAATAGGATAATGCGAGAATTGAATGCCAGAAAAGGATGTCAGCAAATATATGCCACATACTTCCAGATGAGATGTCAGAACCTACGACAAACTAATGTCACGGTGTGGATCAGTCGAAGCAAAAAAAATTGCAGCGTTGCATGTGCATTTTCAAGGGTTGGGAAACCACAAAATGGCGGTTTCCAAAATTTCGAATATAGTCCAAATTAGTTATCAACATACTGTATGTATCTGCGAAAAAACATCCATACAGTAAACTAACTATAAACCAGGTCAGCAAACCATGGAGAACCCCCTGCAGTGGGGTGGCAATAAACGATACGACCTTTTGTCAAGATCTCAGAGGCTATACCTACTGCCTATACATTACCTACAAGACACCTCCATACAGTGTTACAGGGTTCACTACCTAGACCTATATACCACCCTCCAATTAAGAGGGGGAGGTGAGGGTACGTACAAACAGCCTATATACTGCGCACATGCTCAAACCATGTGAAGGGTTGTATCATATATGTCTGTTTGATTCTGTTCGTATGGCCCGAGTTAATCTGAGTTACGTGTCGGCATGTGCTTGTGGTCCAGAGTCTGCCTTGATATTCCACTATTAGTTGGGACAGTCATTCAAATTCAAGAACTGGTGATTTTCGATTCTGAAACTATGGAGTAGAGCAGCTCATCCAAGCAATGTAACGACATGCTGTATGGTTTGTTTTTCTATATAAAGGGGTTTCCTAATATAGTGGTACCACCAAATTATCCGTTCAAATTTCGGATTTTCCATGTTACCATCTATTTTGTGAATCCCCCCATGTACGGAAATTACCGGATATTTTACAGCCCTCACAAACTACTCCAACGTGAGGTGGACGATGCTTTCAAACCGCAAGTGTGTTTCCTTTTGGGTTGGGATACTTAATGCTATAGGTATCCCACCCAAAAACACAAAATTAAATTGTGATAAAAAAAGAGGTATCTCCATTTGATATCTCACAGTTATGGCCATTTATTAGTTATAGTTGGTTATTTCAATGGGATTATGCATTTTATAAATGGGGTTTTGTTAGTACTTGTAACTGGTATAGCTCGGGCCATCAGTGCCCCACTTGGATGGGGCAAGTTTTATGTCGGAACCATCCCTCTGGAACAGTTGATTCCAGGGAACCAGGCCAGGGGGTTAAGACCTTGTTACAATGTGCCCCCCCCCCAAACGTGATGTTTGTTGGTTTATAAACCCCATGAGAACTTTGGTTATTTGCGTACCCTAAACCATAGTTATTGGAGTTATAAACCAACTCAGCTATGTAGGGGGCCCCACTTTTGTAGGTTCCATGATTTTCCATATGGAGATTTCCATAAATGGGGTACCCCCAAATGGACCTGGATGGTTTAGAATGGAAAATTTTACTAAAATTGGTGATTTTGGGGTTACTCGTATTTTAGGAAACGTCCATATCCATTTTTGATGAATTATGAAATCCTGATGGGTGTGTTTGAAATTGGGTTTTACCTTCAAAGGTTGTTTTGGTAGGGAAAGTGAAAGACAATGATGACAACCGCAATTTTGGGTACCACGTGGGTGACCTAACCATAGTTGTAGCGGTTATATCCCAAGTTATGGAGGTTAAACCCCATGGTTATATCCATGAATATCCCCAACCGCACCCACAAGGTACCATATTTTCAGACACACCCTTTTGTGGTATGCCATGGTGTTCCCAGTTCCTGATCCAATGTTTGGTATATCACTATCCAACTGGCCAACCAAAAATCATATTGGTACCACTATTCATAAAATCCAATGTTGTGTTGGCCAGTTTGACTATATACACACCCAGCTACATATATATATATATATATTGGTATCATTAACAGCATTTCCATGTTTGATTGTCATTTGATTATGATATGATGTGTTAACATTACTTGGTAGATTTTGGTACAATATACCATGCTGTATCCTTATTTGCGGTGTTTTCTGAATTGATGATCCAATCAAGAAGATGTTTCTATGGGGTCTGGGGTAGCAAGGGCAGCAGCTGGGAGAAGCTGACCTCACTTGAATCATGGTTAGCAGGGGTAACTCTCCCAATATAGTCTTATTCAGATTGGTGAAATACTACAATTTACCCAGATTTTCCAAACTATTCATGAATTATGATTTATTGATCAATACATTAAACTAATTTTAATAATAATTTGTATTTTATAGATTGAGCATTGGAGATCAGAATCCGAAGTCCACTTCTTTGTTTTTGCAATCAGGAGTGGGAACATATCGATCCAGAGCCAAGTAAAAATGGTATCTTCTTGTCGGTGCATGTCTTGTTCTACAGCGTCGGACTTGGCATTACGATTCTCTTGATGTAGCTCGGCGGACACCGGCGGTTTTTGCTCTCGCGTTGTCTGGTTTCGGGATGTTGTTTTAGGGACTATGACTATACTCATGTGTGCCTGAGAATATGCTGATAGCGTTGATGTATTGATTAAGCAGCGCGTATACACATATATATATATACATACACATATGTAGTGCGGGTACAATCAGCTCATCAGCAAATTGGGTGTGTCAGAAACAAAGGCATGGCAGTAAACAACCAGCTATACAGTCAAGGTGGTGCCGCATAGGCAAGGTGAGTTGGTTTATAACCAAGATGGCTAGGGGTTATGGATGATATATCAATAGCTCATTTGCGTTTTAAATTAGAAAGCAGCTTCTTCACCCTGTAAAACTGGATCGGCACCGCGTTGTACCCTACTTCATAGCATGGGTGGATCATGTTTCTACTTTTCAAGGCCGTGTGTTTTCTGGGAGGGCATAACCCGTGTGGATTCACTGTCAGCAAAACTTGATTGGATCACGTTACTTTATTTAATTTATTGTCATTCTCTTAAAAAATGATCTAAAACTGAATATTGATGATCTAAGTTTCTATATGGTTCATATACTCTATTTATATATATAAGCATTCTCTTATTCTCATATCTTCTTTTTTTCCCTTGAACATCATATTCCACAAAGATATTATGCTAACATGTTTTTGAAGGCCATCCAAGATGGGCGACGCCAAATCGCCTGGAAAATTGGCAAAGCCCACCCGATCCAGGAATGTGTTGATTGGCGTCCTGGGGAGCAACTTCGACCTTTACCAAGACCGAGCACCCGAACTCTTCAGCCGCGCACGCGCCAAGTTGCTTCTAGATGCCCAGCGTACGCCCGGTTATTGAAACAGGTTAGATCGGTTAGATAAATTACCTACGGCTATCTATGTCTAGCTCCCAGGTTCCAGCCATGAAACAAATCCTCCCTTCTTGTCCCATCACATTCTTGTGGTTGGTAATAGATGTTAAGAGGTATTCGGTATCCCGATTAGATGGGTTACAATCAAGTAAGCCAGGTAGTTTTTTCTTTAATCCACTACCCGGAGTCCGGAGTCACTAAGGAGTTACTAAGTTGGATACTCCAGCAAGTGTAGGCTGAACTCTTGTTGGGTGAAGGGATTCCGGAAGATCTGGAAGCATCAAAAATTCGATTTGGATAACTCTGACCAACCAATCAGATGACGATGTGGGTATGGGTCAAAATTCGGTACCCCAACAACTCGATGGTTAATACTAAACAGAAAACCAGACTCTGTGTTTTGATCCATACCCATGTAGACCACCAACAGGGGCTAAAGAACATGATGAAGTGCAGAAGTGTAGAAATCATTATGTCGTGATTAAGAAAAAATCGCTCGCACAAGGTGTGCCCCGGTAAACTTACGGTTCGGCCAACTGCCAAATATTTGGCTCAAGGTGCCTGGTTTAAAAGAGGAACTTTAAGTCTTACTTAGGTTGGGCTTGGAATTAGGTTGTTAGCACTTTGGTACAGTGGGAATTTCGCGGGCTGGGTTGATTGGTTGGTTGGTGCGCGGGTCGGTCGGTCGGTCGGTCGGTCAGTCGGTCGGTCGGTCGGTCGGTGGGTCGGTCGGTCGGTCGGTCGGTCGGTGGGTGGGTGGGTGTTGTTGTTGTTGATGATGTTGTTGTCGTTGTCGTTGTCGTTGTCGTTGTCGTTGGTGTGGTTGATGATAATGATTTTGAAAGTGATGATGGTGATGATGACTTTGATGATGGTGATGATGCTACCAACTCCCCATGTTTTCTCCTTCCTTGAAGAGAGATCATTGGGCCCAGGAAATGGAAGGCCGGCCGATGTTACAGCTCTTGATTTTTCTGAAAACCTCCGCCCAGACAATGAGAAAGAACAACAGGCGCGGTCCAAAAAAGGGTCAGTTGGTTGGGATGTCATTGTTGGTGAATACTGGGTTAATCATGGGATATTAATGGCTGATAATAGTGATTATAGTGACTAGTAATAGCTAATAATAATGAAGAAATATATAGTTGCTAAACTCCTGGATTGTAGATCATGATTGGGAAAGACTATCCAATATTATTGTCCAATATCATCCAATACGTTATATTTTGGGGTTATCGCGATCTTGTATGTGATATTTTCCTAAGCAGTATCATTGGCGGCTGACCTGGTTTTTTCCACGGGACAGACTGATCCTAATTTGTCGTTGCACCAGAAAAACATCAGTACAATCGTTGGAAACACTGGAAAGTACATGATATTACTGTTCGTCTATTTGTATTTTCAGTTGATACTCCTTCGATGTTGCCAGAATTCGCAAATTGTGTTTTTCGGACGGTGCGTGTTCCAATGCATCCGTGTCTGCTAACCAATCCGCGGATCAGCACGTCCTTCCAACCACCTATAGCTATAGTCCTGGCAATATGTGAATAATGTAGGTTACAGATTAGTACAGGCCCCCCCCCTTAACAAATTTTGGGTACAGAACAGTGTGGAAAAAACCAGGTATCAGGTACGCAATAGTGTGGAATTTAAAAAAATGATAGATTTCAATTGATTTCAATTTACTTTCAATTGATTTCAGTTCATTTTCAATTGATTTCAAATTACTTTGAATTGATTTCAATTTGACTTCAATTGATTTCAATTTACTTTCAATTGATTTCAATTTACTTTCAATTGATTTCAATTTTACTTTGAATTGATTTCAATTTACTTTGAATTGATTTCATTTCAATTTGATTTCAATTGATTTCAATTGATTTCAATTTACTTTCAATTTACTTTCAACTGATTTCAATTTACTTTGATTTGATCTCAAATTACTTTGAATTGATCTCAATTTACTTTCAATTGATTTCAATTTACTTTGAGTTGATTTCAATTTACTTTGAATTGATTTCAATTTACTTTGAATTGATTTCAATTTACTTTGAATTGATTTCAATTTACTTTGAATTGATTTCAATTTATTTTGAATTGATTTCAATTTACTTTGAATTGATTTCAATTTAGTTTCAATTGATTTCAATCTACTTTAAATTGATTTCAATCTACTTTAAATTGATTTCAATTTACTTTGAATTACTTTCAATTACTTTGAATTGATTTCAGTTGATTTCAATTTACTTTGAATTGGTTTCAATTTACTTTGAACTGATTGCAATTTATTTTGAATTGATTTCAATTTATTTTGAATTGATTTCAATTTTCTTTGAATTGAGTTCAATTTACTTTCAATTGATTTCAATCTACTTTAAATTGATTTCAATTTACTTTGAATTAATTTCAATTAATTACTTTGAATTGATTTCAATTTACTTTGAATTGATTTCAATTTTTTTGAAATGATTTCAATTTACTTTGAACTGATTGCAATTTACTTTCAATTGATTTCAATTGATTTCAATTTACTTTCAATTGATTTCAATTTACTTTGAATTGATTTCAGTTGATTTCAATTTACTTTCAATTGATTTCAATTTACTGTCAATTTACTTTCAATCGACACCCCTAGAAATCCAATAGTAGTCCCAGAGAAATATCATAGAACTACCATGGAAATCCCATAGGAATCCCACAGAAATCCCATAGAAAGATCATAGAAATATCATGGAATAGCATAGGAACCACAAAGAAATTCCATAAGAATTCCAATAATAATCCCATAGAAATATCATAGAAACATCATGGAAATACCCTGGAAATCGCAGAGGAATCCAATAGAAATTCCATAGGAATCCAATAGAAATACCATAGAAATCCCATAGGAATCCAATGGAAATCCCATAAGAATACCATAGCACTCCCATAGCACCCCTTCAGAAATCCCATAGAAATCCTCCAGAAATATCATAGAAACATCATGGAAATCCCATAGGAGTTCCATAGAAATCAAATAGTAATACCATAGAAATACCATAAAAGAAAAAAGCTTTAGCAAAGGAAAAGGTAAAGGAAATGATTGCAAAAAAAAATCACCCCAGGAAGCATCTGGACACAATAGTGTACCCCCAAACAAACCACACTATTGTGGACCAGGGTTGCTCATGGGCTACCCCCTTGAAAAATTGTTTGAGTGATGTTTTTTTTAATGGGTTTTAAAAAGGCATCATATATTTTGTGAAATTGAGCATTTCTGAGAATCTCAAATGAAAGAAGCTAAGAAAATAATCAATTAATTAAAAGGAAAAAGAACTTTAGCAAAGGAAAAGGTAAAGGAAATGATTGCAAAAAACAAAAATTACACCAGGAAGCATCTGGACACAATAGTGTAACCCCAAACAAGCCACACTATTGTGGATCAGGGTTGCTCATGGACTACCCCCTTGAAAAATTGTTTGGGTGATGTGTTTTAATTGGGCTTTAAGAAGGTGTCATATATTTTGGGAAATTGGGCATTTCTGAGAATTTCAAAAATTCCAGAAACTAAGAAAATAATCAATTAATTAAAAGGAAAAAAACTTTAGGAAAGGAAAAGGTAAAGGAAATGATTGCAGAAGAAAATAAAAATCACATCAAGAAGCAGCTGGACACAATAGTGTACCCCCCAAACAAACCATACTACTGTGTACCTGGATGTAATTTTCTGTGGGAGGCATCTGGAAAATTTCAATGATGGAAAACAAAAAGTAAAAGAAGAAAGCTTTAAACAATGAAAAAAATGAAAAATGTTTGAACAGAAACAAGACCAAGACACACTATTGTACCCCAGACAAGATCAAGACACAATAGTGTATCCTGACACAAATAAATATAATGTTTAAATTTGTAATTTGTCAAAAAAATGAATGATAATGAATTAATAATATTTATTATATTTTTTGTATTTTTTAAATTTGTAATTTGTTAAATTAAAAATTAACTGATAATTAATTAATTATCATAAACAAAAAATAAAAATATAATTTAAAACAATGTAAAACTTAAAAAACAAAAAAATGAACAAAAACTTACACCAAAATCCTGTGGACACAAAACTGTACCCTCAATCATTTCCAAAGTTACAGAATAATTTTGGAGTCTGTGGACACAATTCTGTATCCCCACACTAATCTGTATACCACATTAAATGACAATGTTTAACATCCAGGTGAAAAATAAACGGACCATTTAAATCGTACAGATTCAGTACATTAATTGACAAGCCATTCGGTGCTGAGATTCAGTACAGGTCGGAAATGGGACAGAAAGTTTTGCCATGTGTCATGGTTTGCTTGATTTCCCTGGTTTGCTTGCTTAATGTGTGTTTCTTGAGCATCAACATGCAGAGCGTCAGAATGTACCATTGAAGAAATATTGAAGATAAGTAGGTTTTCTTGACCTCCATCTCCTATAGGTCCTACGCAATGTAAGCAATGACCCACATAAACTATACAGACCTCACTATTAGGTCACTGCAATGACGGGAATTGCAGGGGCTGCTATATCCCCAAATAGCCGAACTCTTTCAGCTCAGCGTAACTATTCCACAATGATGACATCCCACGAAACAAAAATACACGGTGGTGCCCCGCGGACATGTATTTTGGTTGATAAACTCCACTAACAACATGTATGTATATATATATAATTATATATATACACACACGTATATATGCACCAGGCCCTGCCGCCCCCCCTCCCCCTGAGGTAGCTATCCCCTTTTAGGGAGCCCTGGAAACCTATACAAACACCTGCGGACAAGTAGTGGCTGCTGCACTTCTTTTTACACGCGGTTTGCTGCTAGTCTTGAGCCATGCGGAGTGCGCATGAAAGATATGAATTAAGTGTACATGTCAACATGCATGAAAGCATTGTGTAGACACGTAAAGTAAAATAAGTAACAAACAGACACAAATTTTCTTCGTGTCGTAACATGCAAGTCTGTTTCACAGGTAGCGTTCAGCCTGTGATCTGCTGTGAGACGGTCCGAAAACAAAAACAAAACTGTACAATGAGCTGCTCTCCGCTGTTGGCAAGCGACCGCAACTGCGGAACATGGCAATTTTGTGGACTTACAGTCCCATTGTGAAATAAGAACCATAAAAGTTCAATTCATTTCTCCTTCTCAATTCTCCAGACTGGTGGAAAAATATCGATTGATCAGGAGTCTGCGGAATCAAATCCAGCCAAGAGCCGTCATATTTCTGAATCCAACGCTGCCGAGGTGTCTGGTAACCTGGCACGTATTCGACATTAGAGGTACGAGGATTCACTCTATAATAGGCTGGTTGATCATAGCTATAACCGTAATTACGGTATCCAGAAGAGCTGGAAGCTGCTCCTTGATCTAGCCACTGCGTACCCGTCATACGGGATGGAGGTGCAGGAGGCTCAGGCACATTGATTGGTCGTTTTCTAGTGGTGTGCCTCTGTTCTGCCTGCTGCGATCTTTCTCTCCACGGCGGTGGAGTCTTAGGTGGACCTGGCGGATCTGGTGGAGTGCTCGGTTGTCGTGTTGAACCGGATGACCGTCCAGGCGGTGGAACCGGTGGTGCCTTAACAGGCGGTCGAACACTTGATGAGGATTTTGGTGCTGATGATTGTTTGAGAGACACCGGAGCTGCCTTATATTGAACTGGTTTAGGAGTTGCAGTTGGACCTCTTGATGGAGTTACAGGTGCTCTTGCAGGCGCAGTAGGTGGCTTTGGTACATCTGCCTTTGGTCGATAGCTCCTGGTCCTGCTGACTGATCTTGATCTAGTCTGTCCAACGTTCCGGAATGAATCAGTCCGCAATGGCGGCACACTGTCTCTCCTTTCTTCTCGTTTTTCGAGATATCCTTGTGTTCGCTGCATCCATTTCTCACGTCTTTTATCTTCGGATTCTCTGGTTCGGATGCGCATATTTTTCAATGATTTTGAATTGGGCATATGTAAGAAGAGGTGAGTGCCATGCACAGTCTTTCTCTGCCAAACCACGATCATATGACAACAAATGTTTTAACTGTTCAACATCGTTCAACATAACTTCATCGGAAAAAGCTGATCCTGCGAATCCATCCGCAGAAGCGGAATCTTCTTTGGCACGTGCTTCCGTGACAGCGATCTGCTTACCGTAACATAGAGAAATTAGAAGCATTGAATCACAATCAGCATCTTCTCCTTGCATGCTTCGCATGTAGTCAGCGGCAGTGGTCGACGAAACTACGTTATACGTAATACGGTTGATCGGACTGCGGTGAAGGTTGATCTGCTGGAGAAAACGTTCAAGGATATCGATCATGATGCATGTCCGGTAATCGGAATGGTCATCAGACTTGAAACTTCGCTGTGCGAAAAGATTGCCATCTCCAGACAAAAAGTCACATTGATGCTCAACACAACTGGCAATAAAGCTAAGCCACTTCTGGCATGTCTCTTGATAAGCACCACTCCAGGCATATGACGAGATGTGAAAAACCGCAACGCGGCATTCGGCCAACATAAGACGTCGTACGTCGTGTGTGTCAGCACCAAGATTCACTTCGCAGACTTCCACGCCGGAAACGGCAAGATCATCGTCTCCGTCAATCTCGCAGATCGAGTGATCTTGAAAATCTAATGTAGTTGCCAATGGGCGATCATGTTGATAAACCGTAGACTCGGCATTTTTCTCAATGTCCGGTTTCGGAACACGAGCACCTGAAGAAGGGTCAACGAATTCTCCTGAGGTATTCATGCCATGGCACAGGCGAAAAATGGCGCCGTGCAAAATCCAAAAAGGGCTGCTTTTATTACCTGTCTCAATCTGGTGATGTGCCAAAAGTTCAATAAACGAGCCTGCACTGTGTGAGCCACGGAGAAAAATTGCAAGTGACTGAGATTGAATTGCTGGGTGAACTACCATGCCGATCATTCCATACTCTTCGGCAATTTCACGATGAACGGCAATTCCTCCGTATTCGTCGGAAGCTTCACATAAGCACACAATATGGGCCGCATTGCGGAACACTAAATGTGGCAAGGCACGATGATTAACATCAGTTCTAACCCATTTTGGAAATTTTGAACAACCTCCGATATACGGAACACGGTTGATGTGACCAAGATTCAAAGTCAAAATGCCAAGCTGATATGTGTCCTTCTGGAATTCATGAATGTTTTCCTTAGTGCGCTTGACAACACCGAGGACTGCTCTTTTACCGAGAAGGCACGATCTGAAGAGTTCCAATAAACGGAGAATCTCCTCTGTCTCAAGGTCACCGCCGTCAGGGTACTTAAAATAAGCCTCAGGTCTCCAAATCGGAAGCGGCGTCTGATCCTGGGCGTCAATGTAGTGCTCCTGGAGAGTGGGAATTCGAATTCCATCTGGCATTGCCAGGGAGGCTTGTCCAGCATCATTATGTCGCCGGTGCCAAGTTGGTACCCTGCCTCTAGCCGTGCCCAGCGTGCCTGGTTGCTAGACCCCTGTGTTCTTTGTCAAACATGAGTCATGTGAGTCAAACTTAGGCCCGGGGGGCCATGCTCGCCACCGACATAGGGTGCCAAAAAGCGCATGGGACTGAAGTAATTTGCACATTTTGCAGATCGGCCCAACATCGGCCAAATAGCCAATCGATCTGTGCTAGTCTACAAACCTATACCTCTCTCGAGCCTTTTTTGTCCATAGGAGATATTAGTTACTTGTGTTTGAAAATGCATTTAAACAAAACAACATGTTCTCCATATACATATATATATATATATCATAGATATATATATATACGGGAGTGTGCCTAGTTCCAAGACCTGACAAAGAGATCGGTTTTAGGTTTTGGTTTGTTTCGACAACTTCAATCAGAATACCGAAGCGGTCATCCCAGCGACTTTTTCTCAGCTGATCATGCCACACCACTTCAAGGTCGCACAAATTGCATATCTGAAAACGACATGCTTGGCTAGAAATCTAGGGTTTGCTGATAAGGCGATTTTTTCACCCTGCGGACCATATCCTCATCAAGATAATTCGACATGTATCGCAAATTTTTCATGTGAAAATCGTAAATCCCATGCTCCAACATATGGCACTTTGGCCGCATATGCCAGCGGGGCACCCCCATTGACAATGCCACATTGGCCATATGTGTGGCCCCAGCTCTGTAACACAAGTAGGCCTGTTCAAGCCTTTCCCATTGAGAACGGGTATGTTGACGTCCACTCTCCAGAGATACAGCCTCCATCTCAGCCAGTCCGCACGCTGCAGCCGCACGATACCTTAAAGGCTCAAACGCAGTGGGGATCACTGAAGTGAAGTTGTGGTGGTGAACATTTTTTTTCAGGACATGGCATGGTTTTTTATTTGGGTTTGGATCTATCCCAAGATTACCAAAGTTATGGCAAAACTATTTCACAACTTGGGACTTCCCATATCCACAATTATTCCCTACAAATTGGTTTGCCTTGAGATGGTTGTGTACCAAACATTCAAAAAGGAAAACGTGGTTAATATTTGCAGGGCGCATATCTTCATTTGAATTGTGCATCTCTGCAAACAGTTTGGCAATGCCACAAAACCAAAACAGCATGTATCGACATGAAGTGGCATTTAGGATCTTCTGAGAAACCTCCACAAATTTCCAACCTTCAGGCTTCAAGATTTGAACAGTGAACAATTTTCGCGAAGCTCGGTCGGTGACATTTTCCCTTTCGCACCAAGTTCTGTAAGATTCAAATAGGCCTTCCAACCGCTTGTCTCTTGAAGACCCTTGGATATATTTCTCCGTGTCTGACCAGTCAAGAAGTGCAGAAGTAATGCAGTCAGGGCCAATAGCAAGATGGACCAGGTGCATCTGATCTGGCAATATTCCTCATAGGGCTTTTGTATGGCAAACCCTTCAAGATACAATGTGAGAATATATATATATATGCCATATATATATAGAGATATATCTAGATCGATGGTATGTCAGAAGCAATATCAGAATAGTAAGTCACCGTGGGGATCACTCGAAGTAAACTAGTTTATTCGTTTTTGGTGCTTTTGGTGCTTTTGGATTTCTCGAAGTACAATATATTTCTAGATTCTAGATAGATGGTATGTCAGAAACAATGTCAGAATAGTGTGTCACCGTGGGGATCACTCGAAGTAAAATAGTTTACTTGTTTTTGGTGCTTTTGGTGCTTTTGGATTTCTCGAAATAAAATATATTTCTAGATCGGGTATGTCAGAAACAATGTCAGAATAGTGTGTCACCGTGGGGATCACTCGAAGTAAAGCAAACCTTCAAAATGCAATTGGTTGCAAGGACCCAAGAATCTCCAGGGAGACCACCCAGGAATTGCGCAGATAGGTGAGCGATTGGTGCAGATATCCAGCCACTCATCCGTAGTCACCAGCCTGGGGCTCACAACCACGGGCCAAAATCAGCGATAGGCGGCAAAAACAAAAATATACTTTTGCCAATTTCTTTCAACTCCAGTTGACATTTTCAAGAGGGGGTCGTGAAATAGATGCTATAATTTCATCTTGGGTACGTGTGTCGATGAGCAGCATCTGGACCAAAATTTGTGTAGAGGAATTCATTCATCGATTGATCTTCCCCAAGATATGTCCATGCTCGGGCTTTGCAATAGTAGCAGCACATTTGTCGTGAGTAGAAGCCTTAGAAAGTACAGTACGACCCTGAACAAGGATTCAGACCCAAAAACGTTTCATCGCCCTGCAAAACATATAGTTTTTTAAAACCCTATAATCCGGTTTTAAAACAGGTTGATGGTCTACATACAATCTATTATGGTGAAATTGGGGATGGTTATTATTTTTGTAAGCCCGCGTTACAGCCAAAGGGCGAGCTGGGGTCATCATTGATCTAATGTAGTCCTGATCCCCTTGAACACCTTCTAGACATGAAAGGAATGGACCTGCAATTCTTGTCCCAGCCAACTTCCACCGGTCCCTGCAGTAGTCCTTCGAAAAGGGTTTGCCCCAAGGGTCACTGAATGGATACATCCCAGTACCTTAGCAGGATTGGGATATGGTTGTACATAGGATAAGAGGATACGTAAATTATTGGACATTTGATCCTTGACAACATTTCTTGTATATTCGTTGTGAATATAACATGAGAACGATTTTCGATCATGCATCGAAGTGACTCAAACATTCAAAGCTCCATGCGATTGCCTCCAAAATTTTTGTCCTTGAGGACAGATTGCAGTAAGTAGCGCTCATACAGGAAAGCCTGAATTGTTTGGCCGCATGCCCCGAGGATATGAGATCTAGATCAAACAATTAACATAACAACCCTTGAGATTCACCCTGACCAATCGGGCCATGGAGCATGACGCGATTGTCCATGGTGGACGCTGATGAGGCCAAAGGGAAGATCAAACTGATGAGCTCAAACTTCTGTTTTCCTCAAAATTCCAGATAGATCGCCAGGTATGAACCGTATATATGTTTGCGAAATGAAATTGATTTTTTAGTTGGCTGCTTAGACGCTGTGACTTTCAGCTCCATCCCCAAATAGCCGCAATGGCAAAACCAACGATGGGTCACTCACCTGGCTGGGTGAGAATGTTCAGTTTTTGTTTCAATGAGAAAATGACTTTGCTATTTAACATCAGCGCCAGTATGTCCCCAACTGACCTTGAAGATCGGGTGGTCCTGAAACCATTGTGTGCAGCGTTCATGAGACCAGAATTCTTCCAATTCCTCGGCCGGCGCAGGTGGATGAACCGATTGCACCATGCACTTCAGGGGCTCCAGTATGGGTACCCAGCGTGGTGTGGATGTGATTCATGTTGAACCTATTTTCTGTGGCTATATTTTGAAACAAAATTGCAATATTGATTCTTCCCTTTCAAGTGGTGACACCAAACCTTACAAAGTGGTTCACGCTACATGCGGGGTAAATTGGAAAACGAACCCACCAATACCAAAGATAAATGAATTCCAATCATATTTGTCTGACAATAAACTTGACGATTGAACCAAAGGGGCTCCAGGCTTACCAGTCAGTCTGGCCATGAGGTCTTTGGGTTTGAACCGGTAGAAGGTACCCACAATCTCATGTGGCAGCAGCATGAAATGTCTTGCTTGGTATTCCCGTGCGCCGCAAGCATCTTCATAGTAGACTTGAATAGGAAACCTGATTGCAAAGGTCAAAAGTAGTAGCTCCTTTGAGATCGAAGGCATGAATTTCATTCAAATTGTTTCGCTCTACTTCTGACATTTTACATATATCAATCAAGGCGCTCGAAAGGTAAAGGTAGCGCTGCACCTTGGAATCCCAAGTTTTGGTTTAAATTCTGGTCATGCCTTTGGGTCAAACGATCGGCATTTTTATCTGATGCCTCCTAGCTGCGCCAAGGCTGAGAAGAAGTCCATCTTTCGAGGATCTGCCCCGGTCCCCAGCCGTGCTTGGAGCGAGACTTCAGGGATTCAATCAGCTTGAGCACCCCATGCCTCAAGGCATAGACCAATAAATTGACCCGATTTTGAACCAACAATATGTTCTTACCATTGTTGGCCCAGTTGCGGGATCAATGGGTGGGGAAGTGCTTCCAAACGGCCTCAAGCCGAGTGTTGAATGTTTAAATGCAACAGCTCATATTTGTCATATGAATATCCCAAGACTTGAAGTGGGCCCAGAAAAAAATAGGAATTGTACAAGTTATCTTTATATAAACATAATATCTTGGGATATTCGTTGATCAGAAAAATGGCTTCCCAATATACGCTGAGGGCTCAACATAAAAGGGATTGGATCCGTTGCATTTGAGCCTGCGGTCCGGGACGGCTTGCATGTAACGAGACCCAGAATGAACAATATAACAAGTGTTGTTTGGGAAAATCCACTGAAGACCCTGCCTCCCCTTGACCGAGCATTTCGAAAAATTCTTCGACCAGCCCATGCACAGCTGACTCAATGGAATCAGCTTCATACTGTTTGCCATTGGATTCAAAAGACTTCATGCATGGGTTCGGTAGCGGGATATGAAGCTAAAAATCAGCAGCGAATTTTCAACATATAGGAATTTGCCGTTCACCAGCAAAATGCAAATCATGCATCCAGGAACGCAAATGATTTCAACCCCAGATTTAAAAGAGCATGGTTCTTAATTCTGGGGTACTATCCCATGATATTTAAAGGGTAGCTTCTTAATCTGGGGCTGACATTATATTTCACGGGCTGGATCCCAAATCCCACATTTTGCCGCTCATCCAGGACAGGGTGATTAATCCGCAAATTTGCAAGTGGCCCCTCGCTGAATCGGGCCCCCACTCAACATATGCCCTGATCAGCAAAGACTTACACATGTGGTGTTGAATCGTTTTTCGGTTTCATGTCATGGGGGCCCTGCAAAGGACACACACACTGACCCCACTCAGGTACGTAGTACACCCACATTTTGCGGTGCACCCTGCCAACTTCTAAGTAGCGCATTGCTTGAACCCCCATGTGATCATTTGATCAGTTTCAGAAAACTACACTAGTCTGTGCCCTCAGCATTTTCCATGTTAACATCCCCATCATCATCTACATCATCACCTAGATCGCCCTCAGCGGGCCACTCATCGGGGACCTCCGGGGCAGCTTCAACCGGAGCCGCAGCCTTCGCCTTGGCCTTACACTTGGCCTTGGCCTTGCCCATTAAGGCCTTTTCAGCCTTGCGCTTTTCTGCTGCAACACCTGGGACGGAGAGATCTTTCGGATGCAGGGATACTTGGTGTTGGACTGTATCGTGGTTTTTCCAAAACCGGAAGCTTTATATATCTGTTTATATCCTAATATCGTAATTTGGCATTCCAAAATCCCAGAATCTTTCATCTTCATATCCCGATTGAAAGAACGTGCTCAAGTTGGATGCCAATAGAAAAGCAAAGTAGCCTATCAGTGACATGTTGCCAGGCTTCAAATATAAATGTTCCCTAGACTCGGAGCAATTTATAAATTGCAAGCGGTGTTTGCTGATTGTTTTCAAGGGGTTTTAACTTTTGGTATGGCCATGCAAATCATAAATTCCTTCACCTTTTGGACTTTAGACAGGGCCAAACATTCTGGGACCTAATGATGTGTTCCCTCCAACATGTTTTTGTCCCAAAATGGGGGATGATCGAACAAAATATTCGCCAGTAAGCCAGCTTAATGCTGAAGATATTTTCGAGCATCCTTCCTGATGCTGAAGTTTCCCCCAACAAATCCCATAGCACTTAGGGGCTGTGCTGCACCAAACCATTTTTTGTTCCCCACCCCCGGAGATGACTGATTGGAAATCTTAGGAGTGGACGGCGGTCATGGCTGTCTTTGATGCCCTCTGCGTCCTGCACAATCTTTGAAGCTTCCTGGCCATAAGAAAGGTTTGGGTATCTGCGGGTGTGATTTGAACAAGATATGATAGACAGGGATTGTATGGCAGTGATTTGAGATGAGAACCTTTGATTCTAAAGTCGCCTCAAGGTAGGGTTCGTGCGAAGCCAAGTCAGCTTCTACCAAGTCAAAGGCAATCATGTTGAACACTTGGTCTGAAATCCTGACACAGGGATCAAGTCACCACTAGTGGCTGCACGTGCTCTGAAAATCTCTGAAATTTCTTGGCTGGAGTTTACTTTTTCAAAAGATGAAGTTTCCATTAATCATTCCATCACACTTCAAAAAATTAAGCATGTAAACCGTACACCCGTCTTTAGAGGGGAACTTGGATGAACTTGGTGACAATCGCAAGAAAACAGAACCCATATAAGACTGTGTCTCCGATCCTTTCTGGATCTTGTTGAGGTTTGTGTAGAGGTCTCGAAGGCTGTTCACAGCTGCCTGGATTTGTGTCAAACCAGAGCTATACCACAACTGATCTTTTTGGCAACAAAAAAGAAAAATGTCCCGTTCTGTTCGACGGGCCTCCTGATGCTTGATTCCACTGTTGACAATGGACTCCGCTACCTTTCGGGCTTTTGAAGCCAACTTTCCAACCCTCAGCAAAACGGGGTGAAGGTAAAGCCATTTACCCTTCAAGAACTTGAGGGATTGTGCATGCCAGAAGATTATCCTGGTATTCTTTTTTTGTCTGAGATAGTTAGCCTTTCATGTTGGCTATAGTGAATGACATCGAGTACACGGTCAAAAGGAAGACTCACGACATCCATTGACCCTAATGTTGGATGTAAAGTGTTAGATCCAATCCCATCAATGAGCGCCAAACTGTTGAAGCTTGTCGTCGAAATTCTTCCGTCGGATTTCTTCGGGGCTCTTCACCTGCTAAGGATGCAACAGAGCGACGGTGTAACTTTGAGATGAACCCAGGCCCAATCTGGAGGTTTCAGGATGCAAGCCAGATATAACTTGGTATATAGTGATATAAATATGAACATGTAATATATAAAGATTGAGAGCGAGAACGCGCGAGAGAGAGAGAGAGAGGGAGAGATAGATAGATAGATAGATAGATAGATAGATAGATAGATAGATAGATAGATAGATAGATAGATAGATAGATAAATAAATAAATAGATAGGTAGATAGATAGATAGATAGATATATAATTGATATATATATATATATATACATATTTGGTTTATATCGATATGGACGTCTGTATCAGCATTTGGAACGGCAAATGTTTTGGGTAGTGTGAAACCTATTTTGCACTTGACGCGCATGTGCCTGGCCTTCTTCGGCTTTGGGTTTTTCTTGGGCTGCGGACCCCCTTTCCCACCTCCGCCCTTTCCCTTTCCAGGGTCAGCAGCAGCACCTCGACCTTTCCCACCAAAGTCCGCTGCCACTCTCACCATATGGTCTGCAAGAGAAGTGCCAGCTGCCTTGTTGTCAGGCAAAGTGGCAGCCCCAGCAACCCTTGTCCCCACACGGGTGTGGTTTCGGGTGACGTCTTGGCCTTGCTTGAACACCCAATACAACCTCATCTCCTGGTTCTCACCCGTCGCATCCTGCGGGTGACAGCGGCCTGGCTGTTTTGCCACAATTTGTTCTTCGAGGAACTTTTTTTGGGCATCAGAAGTATAGAGCTTGCGAAGTTCGGACAGGGGTAATTCATCCCACAAACTGTTGTCGTCATGTTCAGCTTGGGATACATACTCTGCTTCCACGGTGATGGATCCCATGTGAGCAGGGTCCAACATGAATGCCTTGAGGAAGGCAAATTTCTCGTCCGCAGTGCGCGCACCTTGAAACTTTTGCAGTAAGCCTGGGCGTAGGCCTCACAGCAGTCTTGGTGTGAATGCCACATCCACATGTATTATTGTTCAATTTTTATATGTATGCTGGAGGATCGATTCCTAAAAAATAATCTGCTGGCTATTGATTTTTGATTTGGAAAAAGAGACAGTCAGAAACCGGAATGGATGTCAATTGGATGTTCCCAAATACATGGCCTGGTTGCTGAAGCCTCCGCCTCAGGGCTTCTCGCTGGCGCTTGCGTTCACTTGGATCCAGGTCCTCAATGGAGGTCATGGCCTGCAGAGAGCTCTGGCAGAGGTGTTCCCTGTACATTAATAAAAGGTTTTTTGGTCGATCCCTCGATGTAGACATTGGCAACTTAAACAATAGTTTCCACTTTCCACTATTCCCACCCTCCATGTAGATTCTTTTCTAGCCTGGATGCGGTCTGCATCTTCTGGTGTCAAGGTCTTGACCTTGGAGGGTTTTCGGGCAACATGGTTAAGTCTTTAAGTGCCTGAGAGCACATGGTGTCAAAAGTGCGTTTTTTTCGTCTACCGCAAAATTATTTATACAGATATTTGTGTATATGTTTAAATAAACAAACGTATATATATATATAATGTTTGACAAGGGTTGTCCAAAGTTTCTACATTGTTTCACCTAGGCTGACTTGCTGGGATCCCAACTCGTTTCTGTTTTCCGGCCCCTTCAACAAGAGGCTCCATGGAGACATCCCTAGATCCATCAGTGAGCACACTCGTAGATCGACGTAGGATGCCAGGCCTCATACATAAGAATGAAGCAGTCAGTTCAAGTAATTGGGTTGACAGGGATGGATAATTTGGATAGCTCAATAAGCCCAAGATGAAATTTCCATTCTTTGGGATTTGTGACTTGTTGAACTTATGTCAACTCGAATGGTCCAGATAGGTCCAGATAGGTCCAGATAGGTCCAGATAGGTCCAGCCTGGGAGACGGGTCAGAAGCTGTTGTAGTGTCCTCCGCACCTTTCCAAGAAGGGATGAAGGGATGCCAAGGAAACCACTCGTTTTAATCAGAATATCATGCATATATTGGCCCAATAAGGGAACAAGAATTACCCAAGATGCTTACTTAATGGCTACTTACCAACCTGCGGCCCATGTCAAACTGAAATATGAACGGCCTTGAAGGTCCAACTTGCGCTTGCACTCCGGCGTCACACCAGTGGAAGAATCTTGGCCTTCTGTTGGGCTTGGCGTGGGTGCATCACTGGTAGGCGAAGGGGTCCCCGAAGTTGTGCTTGCAACAGACAGGTCCTCGTTGCCATTCTTTCGGGTAAATTGTTTCCAGTACTCCTTGTTTTTCTCAATGTTCTCAGCAGTTGGCCCTTGATTTCCACCAGTCATCGCACCCTGCGGTGTAGCTGTAGAAGGTGGTGAAGTCATGGTTGGAGCTGGTGAACTCATTGACTTCACCTCGGTGATCTCACGTTTTTTCAACCACACCTCAAGCTGAATCAAGTCTTTCGATTCCTTTCCAAACTTGTGATCTTCAGTAGGAGTAAAAAGCTCTGTGTTGAACTTCTCAAAGCCAGGGTGGTTGTAGGCATCGGTGATAGCTGCACTAAACATGTATGGGTTGGCAGAGTCGATCCATTTTGACACTCTCTCTTCATGGTCCTTGAGAATCTGTAAGTTCGGCTTGGACATGTCATTCTCCGTCATGGCGCCATGTCCACATACCAACAAGGGTGGTTCAGAATCGTTTTCCTGGCAGAGTAATGGCAAGTCACAACACATATAAAAAACACCCAAAAATAGGGTATTGAACCACATTGCTGTGGCAATTTTAACACCAAAAAAATGCGTTCCTTCTATCAAGTCGAATCGGATCCCTGAAGCCCACCCAAGTCCCACGTCCTTCATCTTGGCAGCGGAGCCCATGCCCTTGTAGGTGCCCTTGTCCATGGTGTAGTCGCCCTTGTTGCCCTTGCCCTTGTCCACGCTGGAGTCAAAGGTCACCTTATGCCCAGTACTCTTGCCAAAGCCCTTGTCCACGGTGTTGTCGCTATCGCCTTTGACCTTGCCTTTAGGCCCAGTCTTGCCCTTCTCCATGGTGTTGTCATGACCCTTGCCCATGCCCTTGTCCACGGTAGAGCCATCACCCTGGCCCATGCTGTCATCACCCTTGCCCATGCCTTTGTCCATGGTGCTGCCGTCATCGCCTTTCACCTTGCCTTTGCAACCTTTGACCTTGCCTTTATGCCCAGTCTTGCCCATGCCCTTGTCCATGGTGTTGTCATCACCCTTGCCCATGCCTTTGTCCATGGTGTAGACATCACCTTTGACCTTGCCTTTCGGCCCAGTCTTGCCGTTTCCCTTGTCCGTGGTGTTGTCATGGCCCTTACCGGCGCCCTTGTCCATGGTGTAGTCATCACCTTTGACCTTGCCTTTCGGCCCGGTCTTGCCGTTGCCTTTGTCCATGGTGTTGTCAAGACCCTTACCCGTGCCCTTGTCCATGGTGTAGTCATCACCTTTGACCTTGCCTTTAGGCCCAGTCTTGCCCATGCCCTTGTCCATGGTTGGGTCATCACCTTTGACCTTGCCTTTGGGCCCAGTCTTGCCGTTGCCTTTGTCCATGGTGTTGTCAAGACCCTTGCCCACGCCCTTGTCCATGGTGTAGTCATCACCTTTCACCTTGCCTTTGGGCCCGGTCTTGCCGTTGCCTTTGTCCATGGTGTTGTCAAGACCCTTGCCCACGCCCTTGTCCATGGTGTAGTCATCACCTTTGACCTTGCCTTTTGGCCCAGTCTTGCCGTTGCCTTTGTCCGTGGTGTTGACATGACCCTTGCCCATGCCTTTGTCCATGGTACATTCATCACCTTTGACCTTGCCTTTTGGCCCAGTCTTGCCGTTGCCTTTGTCCGTGGTGTTGACATGACCCTTGCCCATGCCTTTGTCCATGGTTTAGTCATCACCTTTGACCTTGCCTTTTGGCCCAGTCTTGCCCATGCCACCATCCTTGCCATTGCCGATGTCCTGGCTAGAAGTCCTGGCTTCTGCTGGGACACCCTTGGTACAGCTACTGGTCTTACCTTTGAAGTTCATCTTGCCCTTGCTTTTCACATGGCCATTAGGAAAGCCATCACCACCCTTGCTGATAAACTCCCCCTTGCCAGGGAAATCACTGGGAACATAGATTTCACCAGCGCTGCTGCTAGCCATAACGGATAAACAGGGCTCCTATGGAAGCTGCTACTCAAACCAGGGCTGACACGAAATGAAAGGATGGCTGACACGACATCACGACATGACACGTGTTCATGTCAAATACCCTTCCTTTTGCCACGAATTGCCACGTTTTGTTTTCAAGTCGGGCTAACTAGGGCTGACACGAAATGAAAGGATGGCTGACACGAAATGACACGTTTTCATGTCAAATACCCTTCCGTTGACACGTTTTGACACGAATTGCCACGTTTTGTTTCTAAGTCGGGCTAACTAGAGCTGACACGAAATGAAAGGATGGCTGACACGAAATGACACGTTTTCATGTCAAATACCCTTCCGTTGACACGTTTTGACACGAATTGCCACGTTTTTTTTGACCCAGCAAAAACACAGGCTGTTTCCAATTTGGTATGAACTGCCACGTTTTGACACGAACATCCCATGGGTATACTGCAATGTTTTGACACGAACCCCAGCTCTGGCGTCCAATCCCCAAATTTCGATAGGGCTTTGCACCACTGCACTACCTTTGAAGTGCCGGCCAGACCCATTGTAATTATGCCGTGACTATGTATCACGGACATCCAAAAGAGTAGATGTTCAATCAATCTACAAAATTGACTCCAGCCCACTGTCAGAAGAGTCGCAATCAAAGTCTCGAAAAACCATCCCCTGGTCAGGAAGGGGCCGCTGCTGCATCGCCGGAATGGTCTTCATGTGCCGCTTCATGGCAGCACCAACCTGGGACTGGAAAGTAAAGGGACTTCCGCAAATGGGACCCGTTAAGAGAAACCATTCGTATATCATATCTATATATATAATATTATATAATATATATATATATATTATATGTAAAATATAAATAATATATATATATATATATATATTATATATATATTATATGTATTATATGTATTATATGTATTATATATATATACTATATATATATATATATTATATATATATATATTGTATTATATATACTATATATATATATATATTATATATATATATTTATTATATATTATATATTATATATATTATATAGATTATATATATATATATTATATATGTACAAATGTATATTTTGGTATGCACCCAAAAAGTGTGTATATATATAAACAAATACTTTTTATTATCATTACTCTTATTAGTATCATTATTACTATTTTATTACTATTATTATTATTATTATATATGTAATATGTATATGTAAAAAATAAAGATAGATAGATAGATATATATATATATACGTATACATATATCGATCCTGGTTGGATTAAAGATCGTGGCAGGTGTCACCACGATACAAACGGCTGACCAGCCCACGATACAGGTTTTCTTTATGGAAACTTTAGCCCAGGAGCTGCAAGCCCCAAACGCCCAGGGTACTTCTGGGTTCGGCGAAGATGTCGACCACCAGCCTTAATCGCATTTGTGCATGGATAGTGGGTTATCAATGGGGGCATTCATAATTACGAAACATGTGTAAATATTATTGGGAAACGCTTTTTATATGGGGGCCCCACCACTCGGGTACGACCAGCACGATCGCGGTAAACCTTGGCCGTCTCCAGCTTCAGGAAAGCTTTGATCCGTTTCAGCTGTTGCCTCCAGAGACTCGGAAGAATGAGAAGATTGTCAATGGAGCTTGGGTGTAAAATATGGGAAATAATCTTAGACACAACTTGTTTGAGGCATCAAGTAGAATGATGTATAATATATATGTATAAATGTGGGGAAATGTCCAATCTTTTTTCGAGACTGCTGTGTGATGATTTCACACCGGCCTTTTGAAGAGGGATACTTCAACATCCACCAGCTCATCCAAGATCGGTGAAGTGCCACACAAGGTTACCTATAGGGCATTCTTTGTGACTTCGGAAACTGTCCAAAATAACAGGGAAGGTCACTTGAATGTAGCAAGATCCGAACTAGCTAATTTTTTGATGAGGAACTGGCTTGAGAGTGGCTGCATTGTAGCCCCCCAGATTGCAGTTCCCCATCCGGGCACCGTGGCGACGTAAGAGTTTCTTAGCTGGCCGACGCTGGTCTGGCTGAACAAGATGTTCTCTAAAAGAAATATTCGGGGATAGTGGAAATTTGGGATCCATATGTTGTATATCTTGGATTTGGGCCAGTTGGATTTCGGTTTGAATCAAGCATATATAGTACTGGTTAATGGCATCAGCTTCACTAGTCAAAATCTCTCCATGTACAATATATATTTATATATAGATAGGTTTTCTCAAATGGTGGTACCACCAAGTAGTCAGGTAACAAAACTCCGTTTTAAACGACCCGTATTTGGGTATTCCCATATTAGGAAACCGCTGTGTATATATATATATGTATGTATGGATGTATGTATGTATGTATGTATGTATGTATGTATGTATGTATGTATGACTGACTTGGGTTCTACAGCTTAGAGAAAGATTGAAACCACCAATGCGGTCGCAAGCAGGGCTCTTTGATGGGTTTGTACTGCCACAGAAGGGAACTTTGTGGCTGCTCCACAATATAGGAGACATTCTTTTGGTGACATAGCTCCAACCTGAGTAAAAGCAACAAAGGCTTTTGAAAATGGCCACATTAATACATGTTTGTCGCAATGATATGTTACAGTGTTTCCCTTGCTGCCTGGGGGTCCTGACAAGTAAGCTAGCCTTCTGGCCAACCGGTTCCCTGTCCTAGTAGCCTTCAGGTTCTTGTCTTTCCATCCCTGCGGTCTCAAAAATGTTCTTCTTGTACTCCCCATAGACCTGGGGTATACATTCCCACTTGTTAGGCCATGACAAGATTGCACCTGATAGATTTTCAATATTTTTTGATTACCATAAAAGCCGCACTATTCTAGCAAAGCCAAGGCACATGAATATCCAGCTGGAGCATGGTATTGCAAACCATGCGCATCCGTGCTGTCGCATATGTCGAATCTTGGCAAATGAAGGTGATGGAGGGTCGGTGGAACCGGACAACTAGATACAACAATTGTTTCATAATGTTTTGCCCCAAGACATGTCCAACATATATGGCCAACATAAATTCTATAGTTGGGGGAACCCAGTTGTCGACCAGGTTAGCAAACATTCCATCCAAGGTGCATAGTTGCAGCATAAGAGAAAGCCAAAGGAAGATAGCAGGTTCATCTTGCGAGAGTAATTGATCTCAGCCAATGGGTGACCATGCAGGGGTGTTGTTCCAACCTATCCTGTCTGTAGTCAGCAAAATGACGCTGAACCATGTCTCCAAAAAAATCTGCTGATCACACAAAGGTCGATGTTGATAAATTTGTTGATAAATCTACTGTTAACACATAGATCGATGTTGATAAGTTTGTTGATGGTAGAAACAAAGGTTCATCGCATCTAGTGTCAGCCAGGCCACATCATATGCGCGGCTATCTAGGCCTTCCAGCTTAACTCCACTATGGAGAATGTGTTCTCCTCCGCGGGCGGATACAGTTCTGTTGAGATGGTAAACCTAATAATAGAACACCGATGCCCCAAACACATTTTAAATGGATTGTAGGCCATCCACAAATATTGGCAGATTTACGAAACAACAACAGCCATGATCAAGGGTTACATTTTAAACAAGTGTAGAAGAAATACAGTCCTGCACATACTTCCACAAAGTGAGCCGCTTGCTCGGGACGGATTTCACCCAAACCTCAAATGGCCGGGGGAGCTAGCGTACTCAACATGTATGTGTATATATCTATATATACACTTGTTAATAAATATATATATATATACATATGTTTGTAATGATATTGATATGCACAGGATCAAACATCTAACGGAGACCACGAGCATACAATATACGATTGTGAGACCTAGATTTCATTGATAGATAATATGTGGATTTGTTAGTCTCTTATACTCCCACAAGATTTCAAACCTGTAAAGACCTGTGGAACTAATTGAATAGTTGAGAAACTTTTCACCAGAACAGTCAGCAGCACGGCGAGCTGACTATACCGCATGCTGGGCTATAGGGTGCGCAGCCCACCAACAACACCTAACCACGCCTTGATCCAAGGACTTGCGCCGGAAATGCTCGGCTTTCTGCAACTGTTGCTGAGCTGATCATGCACGTGAAGGACAGGATCCGCCATGACACATCCAAAACGGGTGGTTCAAAAATGGGACACCATCAATGTTTGAAGATAGGGGGTATTCCAATAATATCCAATAATTGTTTTACTTGTATGAAAGGGATTTGACAAACTTATTTCGAGAGATCTCATAGGTTTCGTTGGTTCATTTACATTTGGTCCTGAATAGATTTTGCTTTACAAACACATCATGGGTAAATTTTGCGAACCACTGACCACAAGCCACATCAATCCAGGTCCCATACATCCCCGATAAAAAAACATCAGCGGAAAAAACAATCCATCAGCAAACAAAAGATGTCTAACTCCCCGAATTTTGATAAGAGCCCTGCATCAGAGAGGCAACAGCTGCATTCTTTCAGATTTCATCTGACCTCATCGATGTTGTAAGTTTGGCGACATGCTGGTTTTTCAGGCATGTCCCATGAACCCCAAAGATTAGTGTGCGTGCGCATATCGCACGCGCAATCTTCAATGCCATTGATGGCTTCCAGCCAGGTAAAATGCCGGGCATCGAGATTCTGTGAAAATCCCCATCGGCCGATATACCTTGAAACCACATATGAAACCACATATATATGAAACCACATATATATATATATTTATTTATTATTTACCAACAGAACAACTGCAACAACGTAGATGATAGCGGGAGTAATAAATTATTGATAAACTAGGAAACATTATGATAGAAAATGATAAGACTGATAAGAAGAACCTTCAGCCATGTGCCCTAATCTTCAAACCTGCGACGCTTCCTTTCACTCTCACTCATGGTAGATACGATCGCTTCACGTTCTCGGCTTTCTTTCCACCTGCATGCAGGGCAGAACCAGGTAGAATTCAAAAGTTTTTGTTAACACTGACATCGGTCAACACTGACACCGTGGTTGTTTTGTCTGACCTTTGCTCACGTTCTTTCAGGGTCATTGTTCCATGGGCAGTCAACCTTAGGATGGCGTGGCCAGGATATCGATGGGCCCCTGAATTCGCAGCAACAATAAATTGAGACTACCAAAAACTGTCCCAATAACTTATGATCTTTTGTCGATTCGTTTGCACATTTTTTCCATTGGGCATAGAATGTAAAGAAATAAGATGTTAGGGAGTCAAACTAAATCGCATCACCAAACAACCCTGTGCTCAAATTATGCCCCACTTTTCTTTTGGACTAGGAACAGCTCAGCGATGAAGGTAGCCTTTGCAATCGCATACTGGGACTTTTCCTTTGGCTCAGTACCCTTTCCTTTCTTTGACTTCTTTACGCCTTTTCCACTCTTGCCGCCCTTCCCACCCTTGCGGCCCTTTCCGTGCCCTTTGGCTTTCGGTGTGGCTGATGCTTTCGATTTTGGTGCTGCTTTCGCCTTGGGTTCTGGTGGGTCCTTGTGCGCAGCTGCAAGGAGACGATACGCATGGGGTGCCAATGGCTTTTGCTTTCCAGAGACGCGTTCGAGGACTGTGGGTGGGATCTTTGAGTCCAGGTGGCTGTTAATGTTCAGGTAAAATTCATCCTTAGGATTGGATTGAAAGCAGTTCCAAACACAAACAAACGTATCTCAAGTTCCAATCATGCTTTGCATTTGATTCTAAAACTATTGGCATGCAAATAAGGGGCAGGGCCCAACGAAGATCGTTCCTTTGATGATTCCTTCAAAAGTTTTCTTGCGAAAGTCAAGAAAACACGGACAGAAATTGGAAAAATGTTTGTTTAAGTCTTAAGGTGTAGCTGCCGTGTTTTAACGCCGGGGGTGAAACGGTGATATCCCTTGACAGTCCTTTGGCATAGTAGTGTCAACTCCAGCCAGCGCCCTAGGAAAAGCAAAATGGTTAAAGCGTTACTGAAGCCAAATTTCTTGGACATGATATATATATATACCAAAATCACACAACCAAAATCCACCGAGAAACTGTTGATTTTGTTTTGCTATATATGTATATACTTCCTCCATTTCAGAAGGTCACCATACACGATTCCGTCAAACATGGGCCCCCCAGCTTCCGATTGGCAATGTTCTTCTCCACAATCTTATTCGCACGGTCCTGCACGGGCCCATGTGGCCATGGGTGTTGCAAACTGTGTGCATGAGGGTGCTGTATTTTTTACCTTGTAAATTGTAAATGTTGACCCATTCCTCCATGGAAGGGCCGTCATAATCTTTCCACGTGTTGCCTTAACTGGAGTGACTCAAAGAAGAGAAGCTAGACAAGAGCATGAGCATTGTAAATTGTAAAACTGATTCCATCATTCAATGAACTTTGGCCGTGGCCAGAATCAGGGTCATCAGCCATCATGTCAGGCACATCAGGACCATGATCACGGGAATCACAATCACCTGTGGTGGCACCATCACGATGATTCTGGAGTAAACATCAGACATCATTAAAAAAAACATGTTTCCCAGTTTCCCACATTTTTAAGATATGATTTTGTGCCGGTAGTCATGCGTGGGCTCCCATCAAACAAGAATACATATTCCCTCAAAACATATATCCGAACAAATTCGTTATTGTGAGTTGTTGGTTGGAACAGTAAAGCAGGTAAAATCCCCACATATATGGTCAAGGGGCCATCTCCATCGGGGGCATCAAACATCTCTTCAAGCTCGGAAACCAGTTGTGTAATCTCGGGATCACAGGCATCACTAGTAGCCAAACCTTCGTCCCAAAATTTCTGGTCAAAGTCCCCTCCCTGGTCACGATCCCACTCCATGACGGTGGCAACCTGGTCGCCAACGTCGCCAGCCCAAGTGTCAAGCTGCAAAGCTGGAGCCGAAGCGGACTCCCAAGATGCCGGGTCCACGTCATACTTGCCCCAGCCCCACCAGGTGTCACAGGCAGAGTCAGGGTCAGGATTCCCCCACATGTCGGTTTGGGAAGCGTTCACTCCCCACTCAGGGTCCCATGTGTGGTCACCCGTCGGATCAAAGTGAGAAGCATCACTGTCCCAACTTTCCTTTTGGGGATTGTCCCATGTTTGGTCACCCTCGTGCACCTGGTCGTCACCCGTCGGGTCAAAGTAAGAAGCATCATCACCCCAACTAGGATTGTCCCATGTCTGGTCACCCTTGTGCACCTGGTCATCACCCGTCGTGGGGTGAAAGTAACAAGCATCATCGCCCCAACTTTCCCATTGATCCCCGTGAGGATTGCCCCATGTCTGGTCACCCTTGTGCACCTGGTCATCACCGGTCATGGGGTCAATGTAAGAAGCATCATCGCCCCAACTTTCCCATTGATCCCATTGAGGATTGCCCCATGTCTGGTCACCCTTGTGCACCTGGTCATTACCGGTCGTGGGGTCAAAGTAAGAAGCATCATCGTCCCAACTTTCCCATTCATCCCATTGAGGATTGTCCCATGTCTGGTCACCCCCGTCATCACCCACATCAAAGTGAGAAGGATCAGCGCCCCACTCGTTCCAGTGAGAACTGTCCCATGTCTGGTCAGTCTGCACCTGATCGTCACCGGTAGGGTCAAGGTGGGCAGCGTCACCAACCCTGGGGTTGTCGTGCTCATCTTTGTCCATGTGCTTCCATGTCTCATCAGTGTAGGTGGTGGTCTCCATGTGCAAGGTAGCATTCCCCCAATCGCAACATGTCATGGAATCACTTTGAGGGCCACCCCAAACACCCATGTTGTCCAAAGGTGCAGGAATGGTATCGTGGTGTTCACCGCAATCATCCAAGGGAGCGATAGGTTCAAGCTCACTACCATGAGGGTATAAATCCGGGTCCCCCAATTGATTGTCGGGAGGCTGGAAACCCAAATCAGAATCCACGGAGATGCAATCCTCATCCTCATCATAAACAGTATCACCATCACCCTGATCACCCACAGTGTACACTGACAAAGGGAATTGGGACCTGTCGGGCTCATACTTCAAAGTCCAAGGCTCAGTGAAGTCGATAATCCAACCTCCGCCATTGACCCAACAGGAGTGACTGTGGAGGTCAGGAATTCCTTCCATGAATTCTTTCAGGTCAGTCGGCCAAGTCTTCGAATAGCGGATTTCCCCCAACTTCACTTCAACTAGGGGAAAGGCATTGACATTGTGATCAGGTTCATTGTCATTGGGGTCGGGAATGGTTCCTTCAGAGGCGGGATTCTCAGGTCTATGGTTGGCGTCCTGGTCACCAACCATGTCACCCCGTCCATCCTCAGTCTCATATTGACCCCTCCCAGACTCCACCAACCAATCGGCGAAACTCAGAAGGTCTTCCAGGGGATCACCCTCAGGAGCACCCCATGGATACTCACCATCCAAGTCATATTTTTTGATCAACCAGTCAAAGAAGATCTTGAAATGCTCGTGCTTTTTTGCCCTTTCAACTTCTACTAGGCAATCATATGGCTCATGGTCACGGTCAGTCCCCAGGGAACCATCGGCTGGGAGGGACCAGTAGTCTAGGAGACGAGGCTGTTCAACTGCTGTGGGCGTTGTTTCCCATGGTGAACCCGGAGTCATTGTTGGAGTAAGGCACTCCTGAAGCCCATCCTTAAATTGTAAAGAGAACCAGATGCATGTGAAACACTGAGTTCTTTTCAAGTATCAGGGGAAATTCAAAAAGTATTGGGGTACTGTACCAGTTTGGATTTGATAGTGTACAGGATGAAACCCGTTAAAAACTGCTACATAGATATTGCTGGAATCGGTCTTCATCTCCATAAAGATAGTTCAATACAGGAATGCTCTTTATATGGAACAGGTGTTTAAATGTGAAAGAAACAGGACATGAGGGGAAGGGCGCTCTGATTTGAGGAAACCATTCGCTAATTCACCAAAGATTTTTCTAGCTTCTTCGCCCAATCGCAGGACGCTGGATCAGCAGTCTTGGCTGGAGGAGCGGCGAAGTGCGAAGTTGGAGCAACCTGGATGGAACACAAAAGGGAAGAAAGGTGGGCTGCCTTCCTGACTAATAAGGTCAATCTAAAGAAATATATGGGTTTGTCTGAAAATAGTGTACCCCTACACCCAATGGTTAATGATCATTATCCCTATTAAATGGCTATAATTGGGAATATACCCTATTTTCAGACAAACCCATATCTGAAATAGTTTGAACATTGTTCTGCAAAGATGATTGTTTCTTCGATAAAAAATGGTTGTTTGGAAAATGATTCCATCGGGGTTTCCCAAGTAAAGCAGTCCAGTGGCTTCATCACGTGGAAGGTCAGGCTCTTTGCCATCATGCGAAGCCCTTGGATGGTCCCACCATTAATTCTTTTTGCCAGGTTTTCAAAACCTACCCAACAAACCGCTGTCCAAACTATAAGATTAAGATCCTGGTACAGTTCTACAAGAACCAGAACCTACCAAACTAAGATTAAAGGTTGAGGTGGTATGATTGAAACAAACCGGTCCCCTGATTGCGCAGAACAGCCCATTGAAAATCACGTTTACAAAAAACTAGTTGATTTCCATAAATCGTTTTGGAGGATGATAACCCTGTTTCAAAATTACACAACAACGATGTTTCGATCTTGGGCGATAAATTGCTCTTGCCACCTTCGTGCCTACAATTTCAAAGGGGGATACATTTGCCATGCCCAAAAATACACCATCCATTGCCCAGCATCGCAGCATCATCCCAGGTGGTATACCAGTCCCATTGCCTGGCAGCAGCTTCCAGGACAGATGTTGGGAGGGCTCAGCTTGTAGACTTGGTTTCACTGGCTAAAGCTCGGGCCATGAAACCCTTCAAGCTGAATAGAACGGGTTCACGGGTCAAATCTGTTTATATATATATATTTATATTTATATATATATATATTTATTTATTTATTTATTTATTTATTTATTTATTATTTGCATACATACATCGGACATGTAAAATCATATAAATAATATCTAGATTATGATATATGTAAGGGAGGCATTCTTGATCCCATTCCCTGGCCCAGCCTCTGCGGCTGGTTCCAGTCTTCCACTGCCATATCATGGTCCTGTTGCGGGCCCGGATAGATATTGTTTGCCAATATTAACAGATATGCAGTTCAGAGGGTAGCAATATCTCCAATCATGTTCATTCGAATTTTCCGGATAGATATGTGAAAGGAAACATTGGGAAATATAGTTGGTACCACCACTGCACCACCAAAATCCTGGCCTGGCCTCTATCGCCTGGGTCTCGTCCCAGTCCATGATCTTTGATTGCCGGTAGGCGGCGAAACGAAAGCTGGAACCAGAATTGATACGGGCCCGCTGGCAAAGTTTCAAGACCAACTTAGCTTGGTTTGTAATCCATGCATCCATCGATAGGCCCACCAGTGGGACTTCCACCTGTGGTTTCTCCAACAACATCTTAATCCCTTCCCGGCATGCAGCCAGTGTGAAAAATTTTTGGTTCTCACGTACTTGATTTGCCCATTGGAAAGCCTTGTTGGCCTCACGGTGTTTGAGGGACGTACCAGGACTGATTGAAGCGGTTTTTCGGAGTCTTAAACCATTATCGGGCAAAACGCAATAGGAATAAAGGCATTGGGCTATAAATGCCGCTTTGGCATATAGTTCTCGCCCTCCGATATCAGTAGGATCCATTGCCCCCGGACCGCCGCGGTCTCTGGAGCCACGTGCAGGATTCCATGTGCTGTTCACCGTTTGCGATAGCTGTGGTCCGCAAAGTGAAAAAACAGATCAATGGTTCGGGTTCTGTGCTGACAGGATTGAACAATTTGGGTTTCTTGGGGTATAATTATGAATTGAATGGAGTCATACATAGGCAATATGTACATAAATGAATAAAATATGTAGGATGGAAATCCTTCCTCAAAAGGGATCACCCACAGCTTCGAACTTTAAAACCGTTTTGGACCTGGGTTTGGAGGTCAAGGTTTAGTAATGTGGGTAAAACAATCATAAACCACATACAATTTGGGGTGGTATTGCCTAAAATAGTTTGAGATCCTGAACACCATCTTTTTGTATAAGGATCAAATCCAGGGGTATAATGTTGGTAAAACAAAAATAACACAATAACACGCTCGTTTTCCTTATCGTTCATCCCAGCCATTTATGACATAGTTTATTATTGTTTTACCCACATCAATGTCACATCAACAAACCCCTGGTAAATCCACGTTTCCTGGTCTCCGGTCCCGGGCCGACACGCATGCATGCAGGATCCCAATAATATATCAAGATTATATAGTAAAATACGAAGATGTAAATATTAGTCAGTATAAATATACCAAACATGTATGCACGCAACTATTTACAAACCATTTGCCCGCAAGCCGGGGCGGAAGTTTCTCAGTAAAGGGCAAAGACTGCCAAGAAAGTCTACCAAAAACTTTTTCCATTCCCAAAAAGATGCGCTTTTTCCCAGACACACGGTCTAGGGTTGCGTGATAGCAGGCACACCTGACACCAGCATCATATATGTCGCCGGTGCCGCTGTTTGATGCGAGGATGGCCCCTATGACGCCGGTGCCATATTATATGCTGTACATGGTTTTAGGATGGCCCTAAGACGCCGGTGCCTCCCAAGGCGCCGGTTGAGCCTCCCTGGTGAATAAATATAACCAGTGTAATCGAATTGCTCGATACCATGCCTTGCAAAACTCTGCAGGTAGGTATTGCCCAAGGATCGGCCTTCACGCAAATGCGTGATAAGGTCCTGAAATTTATCCTGACGGTTTTGAGCATGTTCGCTACGAGTGGCTCCGAAATACGAAGATTCAGCAAGAACAGCGTCAACCAATTCTCCGACATCGAAAGGCGACTTGGATGAGCCAATGCTGTCTGGCAAAAATTCAGCGGACAACTCAGAGGAATAATTAACAATACCGTGGTTAAAAGCCAAGCCGTTGGTGCGGCATTCCAAGCAGTAGGCAAAGCCGCAAGGGTGGCACCAGAACATGGCCTCTGCGCAATTACATTCGGCAAAGTTCTTACAGCATTGTGGACCCGCAGGGCGAGGAAACCATTGAATTTCGTCTGTATCCTTTTTAAATTTTGTGAAAAAAATGTGCTGCGTCCGCATCGCGGAACAATTCTTTTGCCTGGGTGTTCATCTCACGGCGGGCCATGGTCTTAACAACTTGCCTACGGTTGCCAAAGGGAGATCTTGGCTGGGTATCAATTCCGGTGACGGTGCCATAAGTACCGGATGCTTGATCAGAACTAGCCGCAGAGGCGGCATCTTTCTGTTTCTTTGGCATAGGCTTGGATTGAATTTTTCTTTTTGGAGCTTCGCTCTCTGAAGCAGAGGTTGCCTCATTATTCTTCGCTTTATTAAGGTGCTTTTTGAATCTCTTGGAGATTTCATCTCTGAGAGCGTTTACCTTCTTATCTTCCTCTGTCTCTGGTGGACCTCTTTCCTGGTCATTGGGAGTCACTACGGTGCGCATAGGCCTGGCAGGACCAGGTGCGGTGGATCGAAAGCTTTCCAAAAACTTCGTCACTACTGGAATCTTTTCGATCTGTTCTCCTACATACTCCACATATTCGGAACGTGTCCAGGAGATACCGTCTTGTTCATTTTGATTCCTTTTCTCCCAATAAAGTTGTTGGTGACAAACATGCATTGCAAGGTCCACATCAGAGGTGTAATCATTCATTCGATTCAGCTCAGCCGGTTCCGGTGCATCAAGCCAAGCACGGTCAATGAAGGACCAAACACCGCAGAACCGGGTAAACGGTACAGTCTGATCGGTGAGAACATAGCGATTATCGGTTATCTTTGGACTAAGGCCAGCTACGGCACCGGGTCGTGCAATTAAAATGCAATCTGATTCATTACGTAAAACATCTTTAAGAGTACTAAGTGTTGAATCAAGGGTAAAGTGTACGTGGTTCCTGCCACCACGGGTACCGCCCGGAAGCAAACCAAGTCTTCGGATAGATTCAAGATTCTTCTCGTTTGTTCCGTGGATAAGGTACCTCAGAGGAAACATATCAGGCATAAATGGACAGTGTTGAATTTCAACATCAGTGGAATGACCACTCTCAAAACGAATAAAAATGCTTGCAATGTCAACACCCTCAAGAATATTGGCCTGAGCTTGTCGTGCAGTTTCATCGTCGAAATCTGCTGTCTTAAACCAGTGATCCGCCATCGGAGTAACACCTGGATGATAGTCTTCAGCACTGACATAGCCGATCATGGTCCTGGCCTTGTTTGAGTCGCAAATTACATGGGCTAAAGGCATCAGGAACCTGAAGGTGTTTTCTCTGCCTCGAAGGCGCATTATAATTTCATTCTCATCAAAACGTTGAAGGGATTTCTTGCCTTCGCGATACAATGTTCGTATCTTCCTGGCAGTGCCTGGATGGGAAATGAGCTCATGCAGGAACAATGATCCGTCAAGATGCATCAAATTCGTATGTCGAAATATGTATGACAGGTGACGTGAGGTTGTCTCAAAATAGCTATCCGCTAATGCGGAATCGTGGTCCTCCTTGGTCTTGATTCCAGATTGTTTCCTGAGAACCTGTGCTATATGCACTGAGCAAAAATCATACTATTGGGCTGTACAGAATCAAGAGGAGCGTGAAATGCATCATCAATGGCCCTACTACGAGATTCGTAATTTCGGGTATCACGCGACTGTCTTCTGTCAGGACGATCTTGGCGACCGCCACGCGGTGTATGCTGAGGTCTTTGACCACGAGGGCTACGAAAGCCACGCGGTGTAATGTCCGCAGAAGCGGAATGATCAGTTCGGCTAGGCTTCGAGAATTTCGGAGGCATAAAAAGGGGTCAGTCACTTCTTTTCGGCTGTGACATTTGAGAAAATGATCTTCGAACAAGATCTTCGAGGTGTCTCCAAAGATTGGCTTAAGGGTTTTTGAGAACAGTGCCAAGGGACGTTCTTGTCCGGGCGTCGCGAAAGAAAAAGCAATATGGACCCTGTGAGCCGAGAGATTGCAGACACAAATTTTCTTGAGACGAAAATTTACTCCTCGAAGTACATCATTGCAAAAACATAATCTGAAATGTCTTCACAGAAAAATGTCAACACATTGTGTGGCTCTGACAATGTTTCAATGACCCATGTAGTCAAAAATGCCTTATGTTTAAGTAACGATCGGAATGGCGGGTGCGTATCAACATTCTCAAGTTTGCCAGTGGTTATAGACGACACTAATATCGCGGTTGACTTAGTAAGTGGATCAGCCAGACAATATTCACTTGCAATGTGACTCAGGTCGTCTAAGTGTCCGGAGTTACTTTCATGTCTCAACATTTGTATTAAATGATGGGTCTCCTTCTGTTCAGGTAAGTGTGTTTTCTGAGCGGTGGTGACTAAATTGTTTGCGTCAGTTCGGATGTGAATGGGGACGATCTCACCACTGATGTCGGCCCAAAGTGCACGCAAAAACAAACATATTCCAAAACATTTCATTAAGGCATTTAATTCGGCAACAGTAGTGGATTGTGTTGTAGTAGTGATCTTATGACTCTCATAGTCAATAATCGATCCACGGGTTGCTGAGTTGGAACCGTCTATACGGTGTGCTTGCTTGTCGTAACAGGAGTTGCGGTATGTTCCCTTGGAAGGCAATTTGCGGTCTTCAGCTAAGAAAATGACATGGGCACGCTGACTAGACTTGTCACTGTTATTGCGATAGGACGCATCAGGCATGCCAAGGATACGCTGAGAACCCTTCAGAGGCCAGAATCTACCATCAACATACTGACTCTTGAGGGTTCGGACAACCTTGTTGATTTCCCTGACATCACCTATGGTCGGACTAGCAGCGGCTGAGGCACAACGCGAAAACTTGTAACAAATGTGAACCTGAGTTCTACTCTGTAACCAATTGAGCTGTCCAAGGACTGATCGATAAGCGGTATGAAGTTGTGGATTGCATTGGATGTTATCTTTCAGAGACTTATCGATCTTTACTTCTTCAACTGCATCGACAGCAAGTTTCTGGTCAACAGAAATATATGGTCCATACTTGTCATGTGTCTTCCATTTGATGCGTTGTCCTACAAACATAATGTTATTTTTGTCTTCTGAACCGACAGCAAAATTCTTACGCAGACTGGACAAAACCTTGGACTCAAACACCTTGTCGCCTGCCATGAACAGGTCATCAACATGAAGGCAAATAAAACCATGTGGTCGGCGTCCTTGGGCATTGTTTCGGGCTACCGGATCCATAAGATGGTCAATTGCTTCAGAAATGGTTACCTGTTCAGTATTGACACTGCGAGGTGGTTGGTAGGTCCTTGTCTTAGAAGTACTGTCATACAGAACATATGTACATCGGTCTGCGCGTGTGGGAACAAGTCCACAGTCAAGTAAGGCTTTATCAATGATCTGCCCTCAGCGGCGTGGCGCATCATTAAGACCGTAACCAGGTTTCTTAAGCCTAGCACCAATGTAAGGTGGATAGCCATGCTCTGGTGGAATTTGACATATAATGTCTCGGGTTTCATCATAGGCTTCACCTTGAAGGAAAGCGGTCTTGAGGTCCATATGGTACAAGTCCCAGTGATAGTTTGCAGCCAGCTGTGTTGCACATCGAAAACCTGCTCGTGACGCTGCTGGACTATCTGTTTGCTGGGTATTCTTCTGTTTGTCTTGAAAACCTTTAAGGACCCATCTTGCCTTACATTTCTGGAAGTTACCGTCTTTGTCTTTCTTCACGATAAG